GTTCCTTTTTCCTTGCTAGGTTTGGGACACTAAAACGAAAAGCCCACATTTTGTCCAATACTTATTCTACCAGGGATACCTGGCAACTGGGTTTCTTTGGCAGGTGGGATTCCCTTTCAAAAGTGACAAATTCTGCAAATGCCATAATTACTTTGGGGGCGAGATTTCCTTTGAAATCAACCAACAAGCCAAACGTGTGGCAGTGTGTCAGTCTGTCCTGTATCCCCACATGTCCACGAGGTGTATCCTCAATGAAAAGCAACACGAGGTGTACGACGTGCTCGACAAGATGTGCCGAGTGCCGGAGCGTCCCGTGAGCGCACCCATGCGCATGCCCATCTCCGGCATCTACAAGATCAAGGGCGTGGGTGATGTGCTTGCAGGCGCTTGGCCTTTTTTCCTAAAAAGAAACGAGGATGGCAGCCCACTGAATCAACGTCTCTTTTTCAGGCCCCTTTTTCTAGTCCCTTGTTTCTTTCTGCGGGTCGGAGAAAATCCTTCGGAGGACGTGTGGAGCAGGGCGTGGTGAAGCCTGGTGAGGAGGTGGTGTTCCTGCCCACCCACACCGCCTCCAACCCTTGCACCGGCAAGGCCGGGACCCCCAAAAATGCGCATGTCCCTTTTATTCGCACGCCACGCCACGAAAAGTATGTTCCCTAAGTTCATGGACAGGTGTTCACTGTGGAGATGCACCACCAGCGCGTGGACTTCGCGAACCCGGGTGACAACGTGGGATTGAACATCAAGGGCCTGGACAAGAACAACATGCCGCGATCAGGGGATGCTTTGTTTGCAGCCATCGTTTGACCCTTTGTGTTTTCTGTTTTTCCCTTCTGGCCTTTCGAAGATGTCTTGTTTTTTCCCGTCCGTGTTGTCAATGTTGTCAAGGGCTTGAACGTCGATCCCCCGTTCTTTCGGGGCCCTGTGTGCATGTGAGACTAGGACACAAGGGGTCTCCCCGGGTGGGTCATAGCCGATTGTTTTGAAGGGGAAACAGAAGGAACCGCGGCTTTTTTCCCCATTTTCGAGCAACACCCATCTAAGTAGCGCTTACAGGGTTTGAGCAAGGACGTGATGGTCTACAAGAAGGACACCACCCTGGGCCAGACCAAGGAGTTCGATGCCCAGATCCAGGTCCTGGATATCCCTAACGAGATCAAGGTGGGATTTTCTGAGCCAAAAAGGAGCTGTGGGCCCCAAAGGGCACTTAACGGCAATTGTTCAGTTCATTCTTAGACTTGTCTCATCTTTTGGCGCAACCCAAATTGGAGGATGCTGAGCCCGTGTTCAGGCCCCTTTGTAGGTACCCTCTTGATTCTAGGGGGGGCGGAAGCAAAAAGTCGCCTGGAGCGAGGTGGGCTACTCCCCCATCGGCTTCGTGCGCTGCGGCCGCGCCGCGTGCCGCGTGTCCGCGCTCAAGTGGAAGATGGGCAAGGACTGGCTTCATGAATGAAGTTGACTTGCAAGGACTATGTTTTCCGAGCCGAGAGTTTGTTGATCTAGGAGCATGCTTGGTGGTTAATTGTATCCTCCAACATGGCAGCTGGTCAAGAGGAACCTGTTGTTCCAGGTCTCTCGCACAGGTGCCTGCTGTTTGTGGGGGAAGGTTGTCCCGTTTTTTCTTTGGATTTGCATTTGAACCCACCTGATCGGATTGGCAGTCTGGGCCTGGCCAGGAGACAGGCGGCAAGAAGATGGAGGACCCTCACTCCCTCAAGTCCAACGAGATGGCCTCTTGACCAAAAGAAAGACACCAAGATTTGGACGTGCTTTGTTTTGCTTGGTACCCATTTTTGGTTTCTCTAAAGGAAAACCGAAAGGAAAAGCGAAATACCCCGAATCTGCCACATACCCGTTTGTCCATTCTTGGGTGGGTTAAAAAAGGGGTGCAAAAGGAGACTCTGCAAAGGATGGCGTTTGGGTTCCATGCAGGGCAGCATCCTACAGTTCTTCACAGGTGTTGGCAAGCTGTTTGGTTTGTAGGTTCGTTTTTGGCAGGGGCTGCAAAAGCAAAGTTTGTTCCCACCATGCTAAGGGTTGTAAAGAGTTGATGGTTTGTTCCAGTATTCATACAGTTTAATGCATCACAATTGCTGCAACGCTTTGTTCATCCGCGGTAATACAGTAGTGGAAACTGGACCCAAATTTCCCCTTTGCCAATGGCTGCCGGTCACGGGTTTGTTTTCAACTATGGGCACCCTGAAAGGGTTTATGTTCCTGCTGTTTCCCTTGAAACCATCCCAAAAACACGAAACACCCAATGTCACCAAACATATTCCCGGTAAAGTAGGCGTATGTGTTTTGGTGAACCCCCTTTTGGTTGGCCATGACAGGGATGTAGAACATCAATGGTGTTTCAGCAACGGGTAATCCTTTCTGCAACGGCTTCGCCCCATTTCCAGTCTGGGAATTCTTTTCATCCTCACTTCTTTGGACTTTAGTCACTTTTTAGGGTTGGCCCATTCTAGTGGTAAATAACACAAGTTTGGTTGCTTGTTTCGTTGCCATCCGGTCTGGGAATTCTTTTTAGATGTAAACCGCAGGCTCAGTGCAGCTTCCAGCCCCAGCAGCCCCTGGTGTGCGACACCTTCAAGAACTGCGAGGGCTTGTCTCGCGTGGCCTTCATGGACGGCGACCGGACCAGCAACAAACTCGGGAGATACCAAGCCCTGTGGTCAGGGTTCCCAACTTTTCCTCTGGTTTTGGGCGACTTGCAGATCTGGGGATGTCCCCCTGTGGTTGGTCAGTGTTCACTATATATATAAATATATATGTATCCGCCGTTGGTGGTGTTAAACATCACTATTTCGGACAATTTCAACTGAGTCTCCCTGTGGGTGATGTTTAAAGGGGAAACATACTGTGGATGGACAAAATCCTGCACAAGCGAAGAAACCCTGGAATGATGATTCTCCTTCAAATACCAACAAATTATGGTTCCCCATGGTTTCAAAGTGGTGCAGGATTTCGATCATCCACCATAGGGAGCCCTGTCGGTGTGAAAGGCAAGCCAAAAAGAGTTTTCCCTGGCTCCCCTGATGGCTGGCCAATGGTCTGAGTCACCTTCCAACGGCTGTTTTAGGACCATTTGCCAGCCATTGGGAGGTTCTGGCTAAGATCTGGGTTTGCTTTTTCATGGTAGAAAAGGGTGAAACTGGAAGGCTGACAAGAATATGTTCTTTGGAGGTGCCCGAATTTGGAGAAAGACTAATTTCTTTGTTTTAGTGCCCAACCATGTAACGTTCGGTCGAAGTATCCTCAATGGTCTGTGCTGCACTTAAAAGAGGAACTTGAGGGAGTGTCTTATTGTTTTTCCACACAAACGTGGAAACTCAATAATTTGTCTTGTCCATCACGGGAACTTCTTATTTTGATCGTGGCTTATGTGGGTGCGGTTCCTCGTTTAGCGGTTCCGTACTTTGTTGGGGGGAGTGATATACCCCCCTTCCAAGGTCGCGTCAAAAGGAAAGCTGGGACCCATCAGGTTCCGCGTTAGTGAGTAGCAGCGTGATTGAGCAATCATCCAGAAAAAGCACGTGGCGGGGAGTGACCCTGGAATTTCTTTTATATTTCCATGTTTTTTTGGGCGGGTCCCTTTCAACTCAAGCACCAAAACAAGGGCGCCCTTTTGTGCCATGGCCACTGTTGCTGAGGCAATGGCGTGGTGATGCTCGGCAAGGTGGTGAGCTGCGAGCGCAAGGGTGAGGACGACAAGGGCGGCAAGAAGAAGTAAGCACCGCCTATCCAGGAGATGCCCTGAGTCTGGCTCCCATCTGAGTCCTGTCAACAGGCCTTGGGCGCAGCTCATTTTTGGGGATGTACAGATTTGCAGAGATGTACAGAGAGATGTCAACGGTGTCAAACAGCTTGGGGGTGACTTTGAAGGCGTCACTTGTGTTTTTCGCCGCGCATGTTTGTTCCTTACCGGGCCCGCTTGTCACCGACAGATTACCAATCGTCAAACCCTGTCTTTTGCCCGGTCACTTTGAAGTCGAGTTTGTGTGATCTTTATGTACATCGATGTATACTTTAAGGCTCACTACATCGTCTTTTTGGCAGTCCCGATACTGGACTTGTTTGCACTGGGGGCGGGGGGCGGTGGGGGGGTTAGGGACAATGATCGTGTTCGAGTTGGGATGAGCAACCTTCTTCAGCCTTGTGGTTCACCGACAGCAACGCGCGGGGGAGGGGAGGCTGTTTCTTGTGTTGCAGTTGTTTTCGCACGCAGAATATGCCATCCATACTTGTAAGCTTGTACGCGCGGAGAGCTCTCCGTCCATTGGGTGAAAACATAGCACTACGCTTGATGTTTTTGTGGTCATTGTGTACACACTCACTTGGCGCAACAGAAACGTTTTGCTCCGGGAGGATGACCTCAAAACGGATGACGATTTTTCCATTGACTGAGTCCGCGCTGCTGCGACGTGCGGTGGTCATGCCTGAGAACCCAAATAAGCACTCTGTACGGATACTTTTGGGTCGAGGTAGTGTCCACAGCGCCCCTTTGCATGACTTGCCTTTTGAGGGCTCCGAGCCGAGCCAATTTTGACAGGAGCCTTTAACGGCCGGAGGTCAGAATTTGTTGCGAGCATGTTGTTTGGTGTCTGTGGGGAAGCCTACAATGAGCCCATATTCCCACCCTCCCATCCACCGGAATGGACTCAGAAAAAGGCCAAACTATGGCCCCTTCGAACTTTGAACTTGAAGAAGCCAGGACAGGAATGGGGCAACGTAAATTGACATGTATCGCCATCTATGTGAAAGGCTTAGATGTGCACGCCATTTGCCGGCTGATGATCAGGTTTACCTCTTTGTTTGCGCGAGTTTGCAGTATGCATTTGTTTTTGTGCTTTTCTCAGCGGCGATAGCTATGGATTGCTCGGTTGTGCGCGGCTCTTGCACAGGTTTCTGGAGGCTCCTTTGTCCAGTACCGCCAAGTCTTTGCGCCCCGTAGCCATTGGGCCGCAGCTTCGCCGAGCGTTTTGGATTCGGACGGAGAAATGCCGGCCAACTCCGAGAAGCAGCACTTGTCCATCGTCATCTGCGGCTCGAGCCGAGATGGGATGGCTCCGGAGCCAGGATTTACACTAGGGCTGTGCATTGCAAATGAGTTGAATCCGCAAATATCGGCGCTGGAAGCCTCTGAGAGTTCTAACCATAGAGTTCCTCGTCCAGTAAACCGGGATGAAGGTGGATTCCGCTGCTTTCACTTTTGTTTTGCCCACAGCTGGGCTCGGATGGGTTTCAAAGGCTGGTCCCCTGGGAATAGGTTTCTGCGGGAGTAAGGAAATGCATCTTGAAACTAATTCTGTGAAAGCCGGGACATGGAAACCCCCCTTCCAGTGAAGTGACAATCTCTCCTTCAAGCTCCATGCAAGTCAATACTACCCCTTTTCAATTTGGATAGCTTCGGTGGTTAATGCAAACAAACATGCGCCTTTGGGTAATATGTTGTTCAGCCAAAATGACAATGTCTTTCGCGAGAGAATTGTGGTTATCATCATGAATTGCTACATCTTCTACATGATCGGTCTTGCCGTTTCGCTTCCCTACAAAAGGATTTCCACACTTTCAGGGCGGGATAAACAGCCATCCGGGGGTCCAAAGACCCGGGCTCACGCTGACACTCAGTGCGACACGCAGCTGCACGCAGCTACACGCAGCTACACGCAGCTGCGCACACTGATACTTTCGATCGGCTTGAAACCTGCACACCTAGCACTTTGAACCTGTCCCATCGATTTGTCAAGAAACTGGTGAGCAATCAAAACCCGTAGTGGAAGGCGCAACCGCCCGGAGTGCCATTGTTCAATCATCAGTCAGGCACGACATTTTGACCCAACCTCAAATACATATGTGTCAAAGGTCTTCCAAACCCAAAGTGGTGGTTCCAATACACACATGCAGCCAAATCTGTGATGCACCCATATCTAGTCTACCCTATCCAAGAACGCAAGGTCACAAGGTCAGTTTTGGGCAAGTGAGTTTAGATTTGTCTATGGTTCATTTGGGAGGAACGGCTAAGCGGGACTCTTTGTGCTTGTCTTTGCAAGACGAGGAGGGATTCGCGTTTCATTCGTCCCAATTTTGCCACATACCTATTTGGGCCAAGATTTGCTTGTTTGGTTTCGGTTTTGCCCAGACATGTTTGAAAGGAACAGGGTCCAAAAACGAGTCTTAGTGGTCCAACGCCAAGTTCTGTTTGGGGCGAGGCGGCCATGTCGACAGTGGCAAGAGCACCACCACGGGGCGCCTCATCTTCGAGCTGGGTGGCCTGCCGGAGCGTGAGCTGGAGAAGCTGAAGGCGGAGGCGGATCGTTTGGGCCACTTGGCGTTTATGTTGCTACCTTCTAGCTCTCAGTTGTTCAGTGGCTCCCCTTTTCCTTTCTTTTTGGTGGCTGCTCACTAAAATGGTCTTCCCAAAAAAGGGTTCCCTTTTTTTCGAGGGTCACTGAACAACTGAGAGCTCGATGCCAAATTCATGGGCTGTGGGCATCTTCAGATTGAGCACTTTCTACAGTACCATGCTGCACCGTCGCATTTGGCCAGAAAGAATGTCGGCTGAGTGAGTCATACACATGTTTCTTTAGTCACAACCTGTGGTCTTTTCAGATTTGCGTTGTGTTTGTATCTTGAGCTTGACAATGTCGTTTAGTCACCTTCCAACATATATGTTTATATTGACTGAATATTTGAGGAACATGTCGTTCCGGTCACCGTCCCAGTTTCATGGACCTGCAGGGGGGGTTGTGGGGAGGGGACGCTAACAACTGTTGAGCCCTCGCTTCGGTTGGCCTACCCCTGTTTGTGCCTTTTGCACCTCAATTGATTTTGTAAGGTTGACTAGATATGAAGCAGCATCTGGAACCTCACTCCCTGAGTTCCGGATTATGGTCTTCAAGCAAACTTCAGTCAGTCAGGTTCCATGTTAGCGGGTGGCAAATTCACCCAGGTCCGCGTTTCCGTGACCCACCTAAGTTGTCCTTTTGTTTTGAGACTACCTTTTGTTCTATCGGTTCCATTCTGTTGGCCCATCCTACTGCCATTTTCTAAGACCCCATTTGCAACCACCCTGATTGATTGAATAGACTACCCCACGCATGAGGACAAATTGTTCAATCTTTCAATAGTCCCGATACTTTTCCTGTTGGTCAAGTTCAATTTGAATGATGATTTGGTGGGTTGATGTTGAAAGGGGACACAAGGAAAATATGTTTTCCCAATATGGGTGTGGTGTGTTTGGGTTTGAGGGTACCCTTTTGGCGGTTGGGATGGAGGAGCCCGAAACCATTGATTTTGGGGTCCAGACAACCCATAAATGCCAATGTGTTTGAGGTACCCATTTGTGAGGATAAATCAGCCTTGTTGGGAACAAACCCACGTGTACCGGCAGAGTTGGCAAGCTTCAAAGTGTGCGTTGGAAGGTTCCTGAGGCGTTGTTTGTGTTAAGGCCTTATGTAAGTGTGTGCGCGTACGGCACGTGTGTTTGTGTGTGTTTGTGGTTGGCGTGAGTCTGTGTTGTGTGTCTATGCGTGTCTGTGGTGTGTGTCCGTGTGTGTCTCTGTATGTTTTTGTGTGTGCGTCTGTGTGTGTGTGTGTCTGTGTGTATGTGTGTCTCTCTGTGTGTGTGTCTGTGTGTGTGTGTGTGTGTCTCTTTGTGTCTCTCTGTGTGTCTCTGTGTGTCTCTGTGTGTGTCTGTGCGTTTTTGTGTGTCTCTGTTTGTCTCTGAGTGTCTCTGTGTGTCTCTGTGTGTGTTTGTCTGCCTGTCTGTGTCTCTTTGTGTCTTTTCTGTGTCTCTGTGGGTGTCTGTGTCTGCGTGCGGTGTCGGTATGTGTCTGTGTGTGTGGGTGCGTGCGTGCGTGCGTGCGTGCGTGCGTGCGTGCGTGCGTGCGTGCGTTCGTGCGCGTGCGTGCGCGTGCGTGCGCGTGGGTGTGCGTGGGTGTGCGTGTGTGTGTGTGTTGTGTGTGTGTGTGTGTGTGTCTGTGTTGTGTGTGTGAGTTGAGTGTGTGTTGTGTGTGTGGTGTGTGTGTGTGTGGTGTGTGTTTGTGTGTGTGTGTGTCTGTGTGTGTGTGTGTGCGCGTTTGTGCTTGTGTTTGTGTTTGTGTTTGTGACTGTTTGTGTTTGTGGTTGTGCTTGTGCTTGTGCTTCTGCTTCTGCTTCTGCTTGTGCTTGTGCTTGTGCTTGTGCTTGCGCTTGCGCTTGCGCTCTGCGCTTTGCGCTTTGTGCTTTGTGCGTGTGCGTGTGCGTGTGCGTGTGCTTGTGCTTGTGCTTGTGCTTGTGCTTGTGCTTGCGCTTGCGCTTGCGCTTGCGCTCTGCGCTTTGCGCTTTGCGCTTTGCGCTTTGTGCTTTGTGCTTTGTGCGTGTGCTTTGTGCGTGTGCTTGTGCTTGCGCTTGCGCTTGCGCTCTGCGCTTTGCGGTTTGTGCTTTGTGCCTTGTGCTTTGTGCTTTGTGCGTGTGCGTGTGCTTGTGCTTGTGCTTCTCTGCGCTTTGCGCTTTGCGCTTTGTGCTTTGTGCGTGCTTTGTGCGTGTGCGTGTGCTTGTGCTTGTGCTTGCGCTTGCGCTTGCGCTTGCGCTCTGCGCTTTGCGCTTTGCGCTTTGTGCTTTGTGCGTGTGCTTTGTGCTTGTGCTTGTGCTTGCGCTTGCGCTCTGCGCTTTGCGCTTTGTGCTTTGTGCGTGTGCGTGTGCTTGTGCTTGTGCTTGTGCTTGTGCTTGTGTTTGTGTTTGTGTTTGTGTTTGTGTTTGTGTGTGTGTGTGTGTTTGTTTTCGTGTACGGTAAGACGCACCTATGCAACACCCATGGCCTCAAAGCCGGCCCTTTGTAAACTCTTGGTTTCCAGTTTGTCGTCATCAAATTGTTGCGCTGCCTCCTGAAGGCATCATATTAGTGGCAGGGCGGGGATGAGGGTAAGCTACATTTTCAACCTGAGTTGTGTCGTTTCGTCCTTGAGGCAAGGGCTCTTTCGCATTTGCCTTCTTCATGGACCGTCAGAAAGAAGAGCGTGAGCGTGGTGTGACCATCTCCTGCACCACCAAGGACCGCATCCCAAAACCAAGGCCACCATGTGTTATTTTTTTCCCGGGAAAATATGATCGTTTGACTCCTTGATGCCTCGCTTTTTCTTCTTTCTTTTTTTTGCGGAAGCTTGCATGCCCTTTTCAGGACCATGTGTGCCAATGGTCAGCCCTGTTTGCTCGAGGGTCCAAACAGGGCCATCCCAGCTGTTTTGTTTGGCCTTGTCTCAGCTTCGCTAGTTTGTGGTTTCTAGTGGTGGTTTCCCTTTTGGCTTAAGCCCTTCCAGTGGTTCAAATCCCAATCCAAACCAATCCAAACCACCAATTGCGGGTAGGATGGTTCCCCGGAGATCCTTGCAGGAGTTCTTTACCGAGAAGTGGCATTATACGATCATCGATGCCCCCGGTGTCTTGGCACACTTAGATGTTCCGGATAAATCGCAAAATGGTTGTGACGGGGAACTCGCCTCGGGCAAGCCGAGCTCACCATGATTTTGGTCCGTTAGCTGGACCCTCCCACCCACCAACATGGAACTGAGATTTCCTGGGTTCCTTGGATGTTCGGACAAGTTAGTTATTAAAGAACCACTAGGGTTGTAGTTTAGTTATAATCGACAATCCACCAACGGGATTAAGACTAGAGGCCTTGAGAAGTGGGTGATAGCTTCCTAACCCACCAACATGTTACTAGCTTGGCCAGGCACCCAAATACTCGCAAAACGTTGCCATGGAACTTAACTGGGGTTTGGGTTGGAGCATTTTCCTGTACAAGGGCCTTCTGGTGGGTTCCATGCCACTTGGCGGGACAGTACGTGGGCTTGAACGATCCCTGTTCAAGTCGTATCGACCTTTCACCCCTTTGCTTGTCCTGTTTTGGTCGGCCCGTGGGTTTGATCTTTTCTTTCGGCCTTTTGGGCGCAAGCAACATAAAGTCTGTCCCCTCCCCCCCCACATGGGAGATACTAGTACCCACAAATCACAGGACAGAAGATTTGGGTTGGGCCGGGCACACACACACACACATGGGGTTGCAAAACTAGCAAAACCCGATGCTGAAAAAGTGAACCTTATTAATCAACCAAGGTTTATCAACTCAGGTTCGGAACAGTCGAGCTCTTGACCTTTTGGTTCCCCTTGTGTGCTCAGTTTGGTCAGCTCGGTTCAGGAATGTTTCAGCTTATTAGGACCCCCTTCTTTGTTTTTTATGAATAAATGGGAAGGAATTACAGAACAAAGTTACTCGAGTTGTTCAGAGCCGCACCAGGTCACCGTGACTTCATCAAGAACATGATTACGGGCGCCTCGCAGGCTGACGTGGCACCTCGGACTTTCGCTTCGAAAGTTGCGGGTTTCTTTCGACGTTTGGCACCTGCCGGGAAGGGTCCAAGTCCAACGCGAGGTAATCACTTTGACCACTTGCAACCCCTCGAAAGCCATCAAAGGGCGGTGTTTCTCTGGACAGGCTGAATTTGCATGTTCACAGCACCGGCCAGTTAATATGAAGGGAAAAGTAATTACGAGCCTTATTTCCTATGATCACGACTTGTGTTTCACTACCTCACAACCCCATTCCAATTATTGAGCGGCACTTGTATCCTCAATCATTTTCGATTAGTTGCCAGCTCAGCTCGTGCTTCTCAAAATAGGGGGTCCCCCGAAATCAACATGTTTGGTGAATTTTTGCTTCCCTTGAAATGCCAACGAAGGTTTGAGGGTCCGAGATCCATTAGAATAGCTTTTGTTTCATGTTGGTTTCCGAATTGCATCCGAAAACAAAAAGGAGTCTTTCCGGAATTGATGTTGAAAGACTCCTTGAGGCACTGATCATGGTCCCGGCCGATGGCAATTTTACCACCGCCATCGCGAAGGGTAACCACAAGGCCGGGGAGATCCAGGGCCAGACTCGGCAGCACTCCCGACTCATCAACTTGCTGGGAGTGAAGCAGACTCTCGACAGGCAGCCCCCAGTAACGTAAGCTGAAAGGTGCACAAAGGGGGAGCCGCCAGTAAGGTAAGCTGAAAGGTGAAAAAAACGAGATCCATGTTTTTGTTTGGACTATTTGTTGGGGAACTCCACGGTTGATTTTCTGATTAGTTTGTTGTTTCTATCACTTTCAGGCTTGGCGATCTCAAACATTCTGGATGATTGATTTCAATCAGTTTCAGCTTGGTGAATTTTCCCAGGTTCTCGCTTGCCGCCAGTTGACATGAACTATTGCGGTGTTTCTGAAAATTAGGGCCCCTTCTTGGTGATTGATATCCTTTTGGTAATGTTGAGAAACATCAATTTTCAGTTCCTTGGAAAGGTTCGCATCGTAAGGATCTGCATCGGCGTGAACAAGATGGACTGCGACACCGCAGGCTACAAGCAGGCCAGGTACGATGAGATCGCCAACGAGATGAAGAGCATGCTGGTGAAGGTGGGGCGTCCGTCTAAATTGCCTGCGACCAAAGCGAATCCTTCTCGGACCTTTGGGCTTCGCGTCTGCGAGTTGTTTTTTGTTCATGCCCTCCAAACCTATTAAGGCACATCGGAGCGAACCTTGAGATTATTCCATACCAGAACCCAGTATGGTTTGGCAAAGGCTGATTCCCATGTTTTACTGAAAGCCACCTCTATGGGTCTTCGTTCTCCTGAAGGGTAATGGGTTTGTGTCACATGCGTGCCACCACCTTGTTGTGGTGTTGTCGTCGTTTTTGTTTTACCATTTCTTTGGGTTTCTTTTTCTCTGGGCATGACAAGCATCACTACGAGGTGGGCTGGAAGAAAGACTTCATTGAGAAGAACACCCCGGTGATGCCCATCTCCGGTTGGATGGGGGACAACCTCCTGAAGAAGTCCGACAACATGGCCTGGTGGAAGGGCCAGGACAGCATGGTCTGGGAGTTAGCCGTTAAATGCTCAGCAACCCCACGTACATGGTCCGAGAGTTAGCTATTAGATGGTCAGTACCCCTGGTAACAACCCACTTGACATGGATAACCAGGGTTACTAGCCAATTAGCTAAGTCCCCGACCATCTAAGCACCGGAATTTGACGAAGCCTCAGTTCAAAGTTTAAAGCATCGGTGAAGTCCAGGAGAAGTCGTGCGTTCTTCCAAAACACATGACCACTGCTTTCATATTTAGCCTTTGTACCGGGGAGAATCCACCATGCCCATCTTTCGACATATAAGATCTATTGCCAGGCTTCAGGGAACCTGTTCCTTTTTCGCCCTTCGCTTTTGGGAATCCTTCACTTTCCCTTTGTTTTCTAGTTTTTTTTTTTGCGACATGGGACTGGGGACAATTTCTAAGAAGGCTACAAGAAAGTCTACGGCAAAGCAGCCCTGCTGGGTTTTTGGCGAGTTTCCTAAAAAAGTATTAGTTTGCCTTGGGTTGGTTGGGTTGTAGTTGTTGATTTTCAGAGTTTAGGGAATCTATGCGGTGGGTTCCATGTTGTATGGGTAGGGGATCTTTCTGGAGAACCCCGACTAATTAACCGACTCATGGGATATGTTTCGCAGCCACTTTTGTTTAGCCACTATGTGGATTTCTTTCCAAACAGGGAACTCCACAAATTGCGGGGAAGTCAGGGTGCCATCCACATATACGGGGCATCTGTTTATGGGGGGGTAGTGGTTTGGGGGCAGCGCACACCATTTCCACTGCCAGGATGTGGAGGTTGGCAGCGAGACCATCCACGTGGACACGGTTCCTCAGCAAACCGTGGAAGCTTCAGGGGGCGTTTTGTTGTGAGGTTTTAAAGAAAAACCATGCAAAAATCCGTTTGTTTTGTTTCACAAGACCAATGCGACTCATGAGTGACAAAGAAAAGACATGCCGTCTTTGTTGGCCAATCCACTTAGGAGGTGAGTCTAATTTCCTGTTTGTTTTGCGGGTTTGGGACACTAAGATGGAGAGCCAAAAGGGTCCAATACTTATTCGACCAGTGATACCTGGCAACTGGTGCTCCGGTACCAAGTGGAACAGCCCAAGGAAACTTGTGTGGCTTTTCACACTCTGTCACACTTCGAATGGCTGGAAGGGACCAAGTTGAAGCAGCTGGAGAGGTTCAGGAAAGCCATGATTCCCCTCACGGTTGTGACTGGAGGAGGGCTACGGGCCGCCATGGTGGGGCCATGGTCCGTCGCCTTTTCGGAGGGGGGCCTGTCCTCGATGAATAGCCACACGAGGTGTACGACGTGCTCGACAAGATGTGCCGAGTGCCGGAGCGTCCCGTGAGCGCACCCATGCGCATGCCCATCTCCGGCATCTACAAGATCAAGGGCGTGGGTGATGTGCTTGCAGGCGCTTGGGCCTTTCCCCCAAAGCCGGGTTCAAAGGACATCCCCGGTTCAGGCCCCTTTCCGTAAAAAAAAAGAGAAGAAAACAACCGCACGGATGGCAGCCAAGTAAATTGTTTTGCAGGCCCCTTTTCTAGTGGGCTCTTTTATTCTTTTTGCGGGTCAGAGAAAATCCTTCGGAGGACGTGTGGAGCAGGGCGTGGTGAAGCCTGGTGAGGAGGTGGTGTTCCTGCCCACCCACACCGCCTCCAACCCTTGCACCGGCAAGGTGGGTGGGACCCCCCCCCCCGTCTGAGACATCCCTTTCATTTGAAAGCTACCCCGCAAGAATATTCCCTTAAATTCCGTGAAACTGCCTTCGGTTTTTCCCGAGCCCTTCTGTTTCTGATTGAAACGACCCTACAGGGTGTTTTTCCTATTATAAGAAGACACAATGTCAGGTGTTCACTGTGGAGATGCACCACCAGCGTGTGGACTTCGCGAACCCAGGTGACAACGTGGGATTGAACATCAAGGGCCTGGACAAGAACAACATGCCGCGATCCGGGGATGCTTTGCTTTGACCCTTTGTGTTTTGTGTTTTCCCCTTCTGACGTTTTAAAGTTGTCTTATTTCTTCTGTCCGTCTTGTCAACGGCTTGAACGCCGATCACCTTTTCTTTCGGGGCCCTGTGGGCAGTATAAGTCAGACTAGCAATGAACACTTTGCTCATTCCATACAGGAATCCGGTACATGGATGGTCGGGACTTTGCTAAATGATGTGTAACCATGGTTATGACATTCCAATTGGTGCAAGTCGTCCGAGTTGGTTGTAACCACGGTCACTTACCTAATTATTTTGGAGTTTTCAAAAAGGGAGACCACCATTTGGATGGTTTTGAAGGGGAAACAAAAGGAACTCTGCCATTTTTAGGGTCCCCGATCTGAGAAACACTCATCCAGGTAGCGCTTAAAGGGTTTGAGCAAGGACGTGATGGTCTACAAGAAGGACACCACCCTGGGCCAGACCAAGGAATTCGATGCGCAAATTCAGGTCCTGGACATCCCCAACGAGATCAAGGCGGGATTTCCCTTTCGTCTTTTTGCCCCTTTTGGTTTCAAAGGCAATTGTTCAATCTGAGACTTGTCTCATCTTTTGAGTAGCTGATCTTTTCAGGTCACTCTTAGATGTGTCTCATCTAGCGCAACCCAAATCGCAGGACGGGCTTGCGCAAGCCCGTGTTCAGCTCTTGAAAACAACAATAGTTGATAGATTCCCTTTAACACCAGAGACAAACATGTTCTTAAGTCAAGCAGACGGAAGGACGTGTAATGCCTTGGAGCATTGATATTCATCCTGTGGAAGGCCCCACCCTCTCTTGATTCTTTAGGGGAAGCAACAAGTCGCCTGGAGACAGGTGGGCTACTCCCCCATCGGCTTTGTGCGCTGCGGCCGCGCCGCGTGCCGCGTGTCCGCGCTGAAGTGGAAGATGGGCAAGGACTGGCTTCGTGAATTAGATTGGCCATTTTGCCACGCCGAAACTTGGAAAGACGATGTTCTTTGGTTTCGGATGGTTTGGGATTTGTTTGATCTAGGAGCTTGGTCTAGATTGACGATGCTTGGTGGTGAGTTGAAGTTAGTTGTATCCTCCAACAAACATGGCACCCAGCAGGAGCACTTGGTCCCAAGAGGAAGCTTTTTTTCCTTTTTTTCCAGCTCCCTTGCACAGGCGCCTTCTGTTTGTGGCAGGAAGGTTGTCACGTAGTTTCTTCCCCAGAATTAGTTCCCTTTTTATTTTTTGGCTTTTTGGGGGTCCCCTTTGTTTTCCACTAACCATGGGGTCCTCATGCCAGCCTAGATTCTCTTTTGGATTGTGTTTTTTCAACCCGCCCGATCAGAGGGCCATCAACGGCAGTCACCCGGCTGCGGCCAGGAGACGGGTGGCAAGAAGATGGAGGACCCTCACTCCCTCAAGTCCAACGAGATGGTCTCCTGACCATGAAAAAGAGACTGGATTGGGGTGTGCTTTGTTGTGAGGCTTCGTATACTTTTTGTAAAGGTCGGTTTGAAAGAAAACCGAAAGGAATGCAGATTCGATTTTGCGGCACCCCGAATCGTTTGTCCTTTCTCGGTGGGTCAACTGGGCCCGTTCACAGTGGGTGGTTTGTTCCAGTATTCGTACAGTTTCATCCATCTCAACTGGCGCAACACGTTGTTCATCCACTGGTGATGATACAGTAGTAGAAACTGGTCCCAGCACCCTGAACTAGCACCCTGAACTGGCTTATTTTCCTGCAGTTACACTTGAGATCATCCCAAAAATGAGACATACCTAATAATCCAAAAGGGTGTGTCTTGTTTTTGGGATGGTTTCAAGGGAAACTGCAGGACAATCTCCCAATATGTTCCTGGTTTTTCCCGCTTTGCCCGGTAAAGAAGGCGTGTGTGTTTTGGGGAACCCCCTTTTGGTTGGCCATTATAGGGATGTTCAACCAGCAGTGTTTGAGGTACAGGCATACGACAGGCTCACCTGAGAATAACACGACATCGCCCATGAAGAAGGTTTCTTGTTTGCTGGGGGTGTTCCCTCATGTCCAGTTTGGGCATTCTCGTAATTTGCTCCCAGAGTTGTCTCAACCACTCCAGGCTCAGTGCAGCTTCCAGCCCCAGCAGCCTCTGGTGTGCGACACCTTCAAGAACTGCGAGGGCTTGTCTCGCGTGGCTTTCATGGATGGCGACCTGCAGTAAGTCAAGGGATGTCTCAAAATTTTAGGCGGCCCCCCTGTGGCTGGTGCTCGAAGAACAACTAAAAGGACACTAAGCTCTGGGTTTGCTTGTTTCAGGGTAGCCTTTTCAGCATTCAACTGGTAACAAACAGAAACACTGCATTCTGGGCTGCCTGAATTTGGAGACAGACTCATCTCTTTGTCGTATTACTCAACCATGTGAGGTTCGGTCGAAGTATCCTCAATGGTTTGTGCTTCAGTTGGGAGAGGAACTTGAGGGGACTCTCTCAATTGTTTCCCACAATAAGGAAGGAAACTCAAGAAATTGTCTTGTCCACTACGGAAACATCATGGTTTGACCGTGGCTTATGTGGGGGCAGGTCCTTGTTTTGAGGCTCGTTCCCCTTCTGGTGGGTGATTTACTCCAGCTCCCACCAGCCTGGACGCTCAGAAAGAAGGTCGCCTGAAAAGGAAGATCAGCTTTCAGGGACGAAATGGACAATGGCAGACACGCAGTGGCGGGGTGACCTTGGAACGTCTTTTTTGTAGTTCTATTTTACCGGAAGACTAGACAAATGCACACGGGAACCTTGCCACCCACTTGCCAAGACGCCCAAGCGATGCCCAATATGTTTCAATCGTTTGTTGGACGGGGTGCCCTTTTTGGCCATGGCCACGTTGCTGAGGCAATGGCGTGGTGATGCTCGGCAAGGTGGTGAGCTGCGAGCGCAAGGGTGAGGACGACAAGGGCGGCAAGAAGAAGTAAGCACCGCCTAATTACCCAGGAGATGCCCTGAGTCTGGCTCCCATCTGAGTCCTGTCAGCAGGCCTTGGGCGCAGCTCATTTTTGGAGATGTACAGATGTGCAGAGATGTATAGAGACGTCAAGAGAGCAAAAACAGCATCGGGGTTTCTTTTTAAGTCCCGTGGAGCTTCCTGGGCTCTTTGTTTGTGTGGTACCGCCAAGTCTTTGTGCCCCGCAGCCATTCGGCCTCAGCTCAGCCCAGCATTTTGCATTCGGACAGAAAAGATGCCGGCCAACTCTGAGAAGCAGCACCTGTCCATTGTCATCTGCGGCTCGGATGGTGTCTTAGGATTTCCGTTTACTTGTCTACCACGGCTGGTACCCTGGGACTTGGGTTTGCATAAAGTCGGAGTGTGCATTGAAACGTTCTTCAATCTGCAAATATATATATAATACAGTATACATATATATATATATACGTATATTGGTGAAACTTTATTAGCACCCCCCCCCCCCCCTCCCCCGGCCGACAAGGTTTGAGAAGACCGGATGTTGCAAGGTTTTTCTGGGGCTGCGGATTAACCCGAACCTGGCCAGTCCCCGGTCCTTTCCTGTGTCTGGCTTGCCAATAGGACTGTGATAGGAAAGTACAAGGAAAATTGAAATTTCGGATTTTCCATTGCTGGAGAGGGACTTGATTAATCAAAGGGGGTTTTGTGTTATTCAGAGGGGGGGGCTCGCCTTGAAGGGGGTACCCATTACGAGCTTGTCAAATCTTGTTTGTTTGTTTGTTTGTTTGTTTGTTTTGTTTGTTTTGTTTAACCAAATTGCAATAAGACATTTGCTGTTGCCGGCTAGCCGTGTTTTTTGATCTCTGCAATGGCAGCCCTTAAGACTGTGAAAGGAGTTAGTATTGACAAAAGTATTGGCAATAGCATTGGCAATCTCAAATCTATGTTGTGAGTACTTTTTGAATTTTGGGCCGGACAGGGGCATCTTGAATCAGGGGGGGTTCACTCATCAAGTTCTGCCATTATTATAATTGGGGGGATGAAGCCCTCTGGGAGTTCTATCCATAGATGTCCTCAAGTGAACTTGGATGAAGGTTTCCTGATTCCCCAGCTTAATTTTCAATCATTCACGGCTATTTCTGTTGCCCAAAGAACCTGGGCTCGCACGGGTTTGAAAAGCCGGGGCCCTGGGAATTTGAACCAAATCGAGGGACCGGGCCCCTAACGATATCTACACTTTCGACACGTAACGGATAGTGACAATAAGTTGATTCCCATTGAGGGCCCATTGAAGGAGCCACTCGGAGTTCTGACCGTGGCACATGTGGTTTAGGCTAAACTTGGCTAGGGTAGACCAAATATGGGACAGATTCTGAGCTGTATCCCAAATTTGTGTGCATGTGTGCATTTGTTGAGTGGGCTATTTTCCATGAAAGCCACCAGTTTGGGTTTGGGATTCCTTTGACACATGCTCATTTCAGGTTTGGTCAAGATGTCCTGAGTCGTCTATAGTTCGTTCATTTGGGAGGGACGACAAGGAGGCGGAGGGACTCTTTGTTGGTCCATTTGGGAACGAGGAGGGACTCAAGTTCCGTTTATCCCAGTTGTGGCACCTACTTGTTTGGTTTGCCCAGAAATGTTTGAAAGGAACAGGGTCCAGAAACGAGTCTTAGTGGTCCAACGCAAGATCTGTTTGGGTCGAGGCGGCCATGTCGACAGTGGCAAGAGCACCACCACGGGGCGCCTCATCTTCGAGCTGGGTGGCCTGCCGGAGCGTGAGCTGGAGAAGCTGAAGGCGGAGGCGGATCGTTTGGGCCCCTTGGCGATTCAGCAATTTGATGGAGAGGAAAACCTAGAGACTCCTCGGATTGTTTATGTTGTTGCTACCTTCTAGCTGATTGACGTTTGATTAAAAAATCATACCTGCTAGAGCACTTTCTACCTACACGTTGCACCGCGATGGTGCATTTGACTAGAAAGACTGCTGGCTGAGTGAGTCATACACATTTCTATCAGTCGCAACCTGCGGTCGTCTCAGATTTGCACTTTGAGCTTGAGAATGTTGTTTGGTCACCTTCCAACATATGTTTACATAGGTTGACGGAATTTTTGTCAACACACATCGTTCTGGTTGCAGTCCCATTCATGGACCTGCAAGGGGTTTTGGGGAGCTAATAAACTGTTGAACCTTTGCGTTGGTTGGCTTTTCCCTTGCTGTGCCTTTCGCAGTTCTGTATTTTGAGGTTCGGCCGATTCGCCCAGATCAGTTGAACCTCACTCCCTGAGTTCTGGACGTAGACTTTTTGGGAAGGTGACTTGTGCCCTCTCTCTCTCTCTCTCTTTTTTCTCTCTCTCTTTTTTCTCTCTCTCTCGCTCTCTCTCTCTCTCTCTCTCTCTCTCTCTCTCTCTCTCTCTCTCTCTCTCTCTCTCTCTCCCCCCCATTAAGAGTTTTGTTGGACAGACATGCGGGGACGCATTGCCGAAACTCCCCCCCAAAAAAACAACAACAGAAAGTAAACGGCAATCAAACAAACAGGGGACCTACTAATATTCCCATGTCCGTTGCGGCAACAGCCTATTTGAGATTGGCTCATGTGAACAGGGTGTCTGGTGTGATGTTTTAGCTTGTTTAAGCTTTCTGCATGCATAATGTTTCTTCTGCAGCAATCATGCACACGTTTAAAAGGGAATCGAGAGAAAGGCACGGATGAGTGGAGGGCTATTGCTGGAGCCTTTTGCAACCACCCTGATTTATTGAAATTTGTTCCGTCTTTCAGTATTCCCGATATGTCTGCTGTTGGTCAAGTTCAAAGTGAATCATGTTTTGGTGGGTTGATGTTGAAAGCCTGGGACGTGTCCGATAAAGGGTGGTCAAAAGGTGAATCCTGCTTGGATGTCCGCGAATCGGCGCGTATGTCAGCCAATATGGGTGTGTTTTGTTTTGGGGGTACACTTTTGGCGGTTGAGGTACCCATTTGTGAGGATAAATAAGCCTTGTTTGGAACAACCCCGTTTACCGGCTGAGTTGGCAAGCTTCAAAGTGTGTGTTCGAAGGTACCTTCAGCGTTGTTTGTGTGTGTGTTTTTGTGTGTGTGTGTGTGTGTGTGCGTGCGTGCGTGCGCGCGTGCGTGCGTGCGTGCGTGCGTGGGTGGGTGGGTGGGTGGGTGCGTGGGTGGGTGGGTGGGTGGGTGGGTGGGTGGGTGTGTGTATACCTGTGGCTTCCTGGTGGGTACATTTTTCTGCTGTTTGGTTAAAAACAATGTTTTCCATCGAGACGGCACTTTTTGTGCGAAACGACACTTTTGCAAGTTGAGCAATACAGGCGGTTGCTTGCTGAATCGAAACGGAAATTTTACCCGTCCAGCCGGCAACTTTTCCCGTCCAAACGGCAACTTTTCCCGACCGTTGGACGAGCATTTTGTGAAATGGTAGGTTTTCAGGCAAACGGCGCTTTTTGTGCGTGTGCGTGTGCGTGCGCGTGCGCGTGCGCGTGCGCGTGCGCGTGTGCGCGTGCGCGTGCGCGTGTGCGCGTGCGCGTGCGCGTGCGCGTGCGCGTGTGTGCGTGTGTGCGTGTGTGCGTGTCGGTTTCGGTGTCGGTGTCGGTGCCAGTGTCGGTGCCGGTGCCGGTGCCGGTGCCGGGGCCGGCGCCGGCGCTCGGTGTTTGTGTCTGTGTCCGTGTCTGTGTGTGGTTTCTGTCTGTGTGTGGTTTCTGTCTGTGTGTGTGTGTGTCTGCGTGTGTCTGTGTGTTTGCGTGTCTGTGCGGTTCTGTGGGTGTCTGTGGCTGCGTGTCTGTGTGGTTCTGTGGGCGTCTGTGTCTGCGTTGATGTGTTTGTGTGTCTGTGTGTTTCTCTGTGTGTCTGTGCCTGTGTGTGTCTGGGTGTCTCTCGAATCGTTGCGCGGCAAAACCACCCCTCCTAAAGGCATCATGTTAGTGAGAGGGAGGGTAGGCAATCTGCGACCTGATTTATGTTGTTGTGTATCTCAGGCAAGGGCTCTTTCGCATTTGCCTTCTTCATGGACCGTCAGAAAGAAGAGCGTGAGCGTGGTGTGACCATCTCCTGCACCACCAAGGACCGCATCCCAAAACCAAGGCCACCGTTTTAAATGTGTTTCGCAAGCTCGCGCTGGTTTTAATTAGGTTCAGGCCCTTTTCAGGACCATCTGTGCTAATTGTCAGACCTGCTGAATCGAGGGTCCACAGAGCAGCTGTTTTTTGTGGCCCTGTTTCAGCTTTTCCCTAGTTGGTGGTTTGGAGTGGTGGTTTTCCTTCTGGCTTAATCCCTTCCAGTGGTTCAAATCCCAATCCAAACCACCAATCCAAAGCACCCATGGGTAGGATGGCTATTATTCTAAGACAGATGCTCGCAGGAGTTCTTTACCGAGAAGTGGCATTACACGATCATCGATGCGCCTGGTGTCTTGGCACACCTAGACGGTCCGGACAAATCGCTAAATGGTAGTGACGGAGAACTGGGGATCCGTGATTTCAGGTTTCTGAATCATTGCAGAATGTCCAGATGGCCTGTTCTGAATCACGTTGCCCTGCCATTGAGAAGTGCGTGATAACTTGTTCAAGTCGTATCAACTTTTCAATCGTTGGCTTGTCCTGTTTTGGTCGGCCCGTGGGTTTGATCTTTTATTTCCAGGCCTGTTGGGCGCAAGCAACAAAAAGTCTGTCACCCGGCCCCCCCTCCCCAAACATGGGAGATTTTGTACCCACCAACCAGGGGCACACACACACACATGGGGTTGCACAACTACGTGCAAAACCCAGTGCGGATAAAGTAAACCGGAGCACTGCCACGAACAGCACCTTATTGACCAAGGTTTATCAACTCAGCTTTGCAATAGTCGAGCTCTTGACCTGTTGGTTCCCCTTGTCAGATCGGTTCAGGGATGTTTCAGCTTGTGAGAGACCCTGCTTTTGTTTTTTGTTGGGCACGATGAATAAATGGGAAGGAACAACTGAACAGCACTACCCCATTTTTTAAGTGGCACCCTTTTTTTCTTTTTTCTTTTGGTGGTAGGGGGAGGGAATTGTGTTTTTTTCTTTTACTAGCCCCGGCTCTGGGCGGCCAGGGGAATGGTTGGTTGGTGGGTGGGTTGGTTGATTTGTTGGTTGGCTGGGCGGCCGCATCCCCAGCATCCCTGGTCACTTGGTGTCAGGGCTGCGCATTGGCCAGAGTTGCTCGGGCTTAGCCGGCCGCATCCCCAGCATCACCGGCCCCCTTCGGACTGAGGCTGCCTATCGGCTTTGATTTGGTGGCAATTCAGAGTTGCTCCGGGCTGGTTTCGGGTGAGTGTTGGGCTTGCTGAGGGCAGGTCTTGGGTTTTGTGCGGGGTTCGTAAAGGGCTGATATCCAGGATGCTGTTGGGAGGGTTTCGGGTTGACTTTGAGTTGGTTGGGTTGGCTTGGAGCTGATTTGCCACATATTTCCCACGAGGTGTGCGGCCTGGTGTTTGCGGCAGCTCTTGAGTGGTTCAGGGCGTGGTTCTGCAAGTCTTGGGCCACATCCCTGAAGCAGCCCAAAAGCTGCCGCCAGAAACCGGGTCGCACACCTTGTGAAAATGAGCTCCAAGAAGACCCAACCGACTCAAAGTCAACCTGAAACCCTCCCAACAGCATCCTGGATACCAGCCCTCTACCAAGCCTAAATAAACCCCAAACAAACCCAAGACCTGCCCTCAATATATAAGACCTCACCAAGCCCAACACTCACCCGAAGCCAGCCCGGAGCAACTCTGAACTGCAGCGAGGCCGGTGCTGCTGGGGATGCGGCCAACCAACCCAACCCCCAATTTGGCCAACTACCGCCAGTTGCCCCAACCTGAGAGCGGAGCAAGGGTTCCCAGCCGCTTTAGAGCCCCCTGAAAAAGGCCTGGTGCTGAGCCGGGGCCAGTTAAAAGCCGGGGCTAGTAAACAAAAAAACACACTTCAACCGTAGGGGGAGAGCCGCACCGAGAGGTCACCGAGACTTCATCAAGAACATGATTACGGGCGCCTCGCAGGCTGACGTGGCACCTCGGACTTTCGCTTCGCAAGTTGCGAAGCTTTTCGACATTTGTCAGCTGCCCCTCAGCGTCCAAGTCCAAGTACTTGAGGTACACCGCTTGCAACCCCTTAAAAGCCAGCAAAGGGTGGTTGCAGCATGTGTTTCATTTTGGATTCCCGTCAACTACCAGCCAAAAGGAGACTTTTCCGAAAATAGTTTTGATGACTCCTTGAGGCACTGATCATGGTCCCGGCCGATGGCAATTTTACCACCGCCATCGCGAAGGGTAACCACAAGGCCGGAGAGATCCAGGGCCAGACTCGGCAGCACTCCCGACTCATCAACTTGCTGGGAGTGAAGCAGACTCTCGACAGGCAGCCCTCAAGCAAGATAACCCGAAAGGTGAAAAAACGGGATCCATGTTTTTGTTTGGCTAATTGTTGGGGAACTCCACGGTCGATCTTCTGATCAGTTTGTTGTTTATGTCAGGTTTACTCACTTTCAGGTTTGGCGATCTCTAACATTCTGGATGATTGATTTCAATCACTTTGAGTTTGGTGAGTTTTCCCAGGTTCTCACTTGCTGCCAGGCAACCTGAACTATTGGTATTTGTCAAATTAGGAACCCTTCTTGGTGGTTAATGTCCTTTGCTTACTCTTTGCAACCATGCCAAAAAGGCGTCCATAATTTTGAGAAACATCGAATTTCTGTTCCTTGGAAAGGGTCGCATCTTAAGGATCTGCATCGGCGTGAACAAGATGGACTGCGACACTGCGGGCTACAAGCAGGCCAGGTACGATGAGATCGCCAACGAGATGAAGAGCATGCTGGTGAAGGTGGGGCGTCCGTCTGAACTATCAGCGAATTCTTCTAGGAGCTTTGGGCTTCCAGTTGCGCTTTTTTGTTCATACCCTCTGAGCTTAGGGCAGACATGGGAGCGAACCTTTGGATTATTCCATACCAGAACCCAGCATGGTTTGAAATTTGGCAAAGGCTGATTCCCGTGTTTTACTGAGAACACAGCCACCTCTATGGGTCTTCGTTCTCCTGAATGAAGGGTAATGGGTTTGTGTCACATGCGTGCCACCACCTTGTTGTGGTGTTGTCGTCGTTTTTCTGTCTATTATTGCTTTGGGTTGCTTCTTTGTTCTCCGCCCATGACAAGCATCACTACTAGGTGGGCTGGAAGAAGGACTTCATCGAGAAGAACACTCCGGTGATGCCCATCTCCGGTTGGATGGGGGACAACCTCCTGAAGAAGTCCGACAACATGGGCTGGTGGAAGGGCCAGGACAGCACCACGCAGATGGTCGGGGAGTTAAGTATTAAATGGTTGTAAACCCACTTAACATCGACAACCAGGGTTGCTTGCAGTTTAGCTAAGTCCTCGGACCATCTAAGCACCGGAAGTTGACAAAGTCGTGCCTCAGTTTCGAGCATTGTTTAAGTTCAGGAGACGTCGTGCCTTCTCCCAAAACACATGATCACTGCTTTCAGATTTAGCCTTTGTACCGGGGAGAATCCATTTCGGCATCTATAAGATCTATTGCCAGGCTTCAGGGAACCTGTTCCTTTTTCGCCCTGTTGCGCTTTTTGGAATCCTTCACTTTCCCTGACCTGGATAGTTTCTAAGAAGGCCACAAGAAAGCCCACGGCAAAGCAGCCCAACCGCTTGGTGTTGGTGGGTGTTTAGCGAATCTCCTGTTTGGGTTGCTTGGGTGTTTCATCTTGATTTTGACAGTAAGTCCAAGCCCTGGTATTGGACTTCCCCCTGCTGCCATCCACATAAGGGTCACTGCCAGGATGTGGAGGTTGGCAGTGAGACCATCCACGTGGACACCGTTTCTCAGCCTTCAGGGTATCTGAAGCGGGTGGTTTGCTTTGAGGTCGTAAAGGAAAGCCATCGGAAAACGTCCTTTTGCTTTGTTTTGGGGTCGTTTTTGTCAAGTTTTACAGGAAGGCTGAAGCGAAACCAACATTTGTCTGGGTCCTCTGCTTTGCCACATGTTCCGTTGCGTTGGACTTCCTTTTTTGGATGTATCAGTGGCAAAGAAAACACATGTCTTTTCTGTTGGCCAATCCACTCAGGAAGTGGATTTAAATTCCTATGTGTTTGCATTTGCTGTTTGGGGACCCTAATTGGAACGGATAAGGCCCAAAGGGTCCACTACTTCTTCTGGCAGTGATACCTGGCAACTGGGTTTCTTCAGGTCGCATAATTACTTTTGTGGGTGGGCTTTCCTTTGAAATCAACCAATCAACCAAAGTGTGTCTGTGTACCCTTTATCCCGGCATGTTCACAACTCCCTGCAACTCCCTGCAAAGCGCTCCCTGCAAAGCACTACATGAGCGCCTCCCCGCGGCAGTGTTTGGGCCTTGTCTTCCTGATGATCTGGTTCATCTGGTGGCTAGGACGCAGAGCTCTCAGGATGTGGACCCGTTCCAAGCATGCGTGCACGAGCTTGGTTGGGGTGGACAAGGTGTTGCGTGTGGGCAGCAGCACGCACAAGGTCAGAGGTGCTTTCGAGACCGCTGACCGGGGAAAAACAACAGGGAGAGCAACCAGATTAAGGACAGGGTGAGCGCAAAGCATGGTGGCAGGTGCGATGAGATGAGGAGGCTGGGCGCCAGTTTCGATGGCCACGCCTTTGCCGCCTTGAGGGTGGGGGCGGTGAGGCGGCCTCGGGGGCAGCAGTGGTGGAGGCGGGTCGCCCGATCGGGTGGCACGCGCGGAGGGGGGCATGCTCTTCGTTCCGAACTTTGCGGCTAAGCGGAGGAGGTGGAAGAAGCGCAAAAGGAGAAGGAGATATGTGACGGGTTGAGGAGGTGGTGCCCAGAGTGTGCAAAAAAGAAGTGACAAGACCCAAGAAGAGGTATGTGGAGCCAGTTGTTTTGGCCAGGGCAGCCGTGGAGGATCCCTTGGTTCGGGTTGGTGATTGGGATCGAGGTGGTCGGTGGTGAGGTGGCTAAGGCTCCCAAGACCGCTAAAGAAGGAAATAGCCTTACAGGCTACCATAGGAACCCACGGGCGTGCGTTGACAGTAGTGGCGCAGATGGCCGGGGCATACTTCGGCATGCACTTGCTGGCGGACAAGGCGAAGAAGTTGAAGAAGTTTGTCAGGAGCAAGGTGATGGAGATGTGCCCCGCCCCGAAAGGGGATGGCTTAGTCGAGACGGGCCTCCACGCCAGCAGCAAGGCGGGGAAGACTGGACCGAACAGGAACCCAGATCTGATGCGACCTTGGGGGCCATGGTGTGTGCAGCTTCAGGTTCCCAAAGGCCGGGATGTCTCTCCTAAGCTTTTCAGGGCCAAAAAGGCTCGGGGTTGCATGGGACGTGACACGGTTGAGCACACTTGCCAGCAGCAGCATGCACGCTTGAGCTTGGTTGTTGGTGGAGAAGTTGGACCGGACCAGATGCAGATTGGTCTGATCACAGGAGGAGGGGGAGCAGGAGCAATGCGCTCAAAAAGTAAGCAGGTTGAGGCAGTGCTGGTTCAGAAGCTGGAAGAAATGCTGAGCACAGTCTTGGGCACACAGTCGGGAAGCAGTAAGCCGGAACCTGCCAATGAAGCGGAGCAGGCGGAGAAGAGTTTGCTCGGCAAACTAAAAGCACTGGTCATCAACCATAGACCAGGCACGCTGCTCGACAGGGGCGCAGCTGGTAACTGACGCCAAGAAGAATGCGGACAAAGAAGAGGATGAGAGGAGAAACGCGAAGAAGGAGCCACGCCAGGCAAAGAAACAGCTGCAGAGTAGTATAGCTGGGGGAAGGCAAGAGAAACCACCAGCTGGTATGTCTGGAAGGTCAGACTCCAGGACTGGCTAAGCACAAAGGGGGAGGTCCTGGTTACTGACGCAAGAGATGGAGGACCCGGAGCTGGGAAGGCTTGTGCTCTTTGTAGCAAGCAAGAGGAGGCCCAAGAAGCCATGGATTTTGCGAGCACGGATGTGGAGATGCCAACCGCGCTAATGGATAAGCAGGAGGCGCCTGGGTATGTCGAAGAGCTCAGGTGGCAGTTTGAATCCAGCAAGGTCACCGGAAAGCTCGGCAACAAACTGCAGGCTCGCAGCATGTGGATCAGGGAGGAGGACCATACCGCAGACTGCAAGGGTATACGGTCAACCATCCCCGGCGCGACTCCCAAGGTAGCGCGAGGGTGTTCAAGGTCGCCATTACTTGGAACTACTTTCATGGCGATTGGAACGAAATGCTGCTGCGGTCAGGGCAACAGCTCACTGTGGGCCTGCTCGATGACCCGGGCTGGAAGGAAGGCCAAGATGGCACACTGAAAGGTTTCTTGAGGGTCACAGGCGAAGAGTGGGCGAGGGACTTGCTGCAGAAATCGGGTCTTTGCAGCGGTGGCAGCCGATGGTTCACCGAGCTCGTAGGTGATATGCCGATACACCCAGGCGTTGTGGGTGCTTGGCAGGAAGTGATAGCTGGAGAAGCTACACAAACCGGGTCAAGCGCGTGGCGCAGTTCCAAGCCACTGGGGACAAAACCAGGTCGAGTGGTTCATGGAGGCCATGGGCTTTGTGGACATGCAAGTGGAAGCGAAACAAGCCCGAAGAAGGTGCAATGAGTACACAGTCCTGGCCAAGCGCGGGGACAATGAGGAGCTGGTCGCCGGACAAGTCCATGATGAACATGACTGGGGCGACTGCTGAGAAGTCACAGTCACCGGCATGTCCGGCAACGGGCGCTCAAAACGTCGCCCAAGACATGGCTGAAAGAGGATGAGACTTGGGACGAGGAAGGCTGGCCGACACTGCAGAAGCCCGCGGGGCGATTGGTAGCGAAGCTGACCGTGATGTGAATGATGGAGAGGCAGCCAAGAAAAGAAAGGCGAACAACGTCAAAGGGCTAAGAAGACGGCGGTAAAAGAAAGGAACAAGAGCAGAAGGCGGGCTTAGATGATGAGGATGGCATGGACACGGTGGAAGAGCAAGAGAACTGGAGGCCAGCAGAAAAAAATCCACGCCAACGCAGGCCAGGGAGATTGCCTGTATGATGTCATGCGGCAGTGGATGCAGACCAGCCTGAAGGAGAAAAGGACAACGAAGCAAATCCGGGCATGGCTGGAGCATAGGGCGGTTCTGTGAGGGCTTTCTCCCAAAGATTGAAGTGTCTGTGGAAAAGGTGAGCATTAAGGCACACTTGAGGAAATGCCCGAAAGCACCCAAGAAAGCCACCAGGCAACGAAGCAGTGGCTGAAAAAGAATGGTCACAGCGACAGAGTGATAATCTTGCAGACAGGAGGAAACGGCGAGGTGGGTAGGAGGGTCCTGCAACTGGCCAATGAGGTCAGGCTAAGAGTGGCCAGGAAGCAGAAGCAAGAGGTTCAGACCCTGGACCACAAATATAAAGTTAGCTTCAAGAAGGCCTGGAAGCTTAGAGCGGAAGAGCTGGAGAAGCTGGATGAGGAGTTGAAGCCAAGTAGAAAGAGGCCCAGAAGGAAGGTTGAGTGGCGCCGCAACCTGCTGGAGGAATGCACCGTCAAATAGCAGAAGCATAAGAATCCGCGAAAACCTGTGGAAGGCCATGGGCGAGTTGTGTGATGGTGTCTCGGTGCTGGTTTGTCAAGAGACCAACCTGAACGAAGCCGAGGCGCGGTCAGCACGGCCGCGGAAAGAGGTAGTAGTGAGTGTGTGGAAAAGAGCCAAGGAAGGAATGCCAAGCCAACTTGGACTCTGCATGATAGGATGCTGCATGGGGCCTGAGAGAGCGCTCCGACCAAGGACGGGTACCCTCGACCAACAAGGCGAAAGGTGTCTGGACTACGCTGTTCATGAAAAACGAAATCCAGATAGGAGAATCCCACGTGGAGCACATGAGAGTTGGTGATCACATGCCGGTCACTTGCAGTGTGAAGGTGCAAGGAATGCAGGCCGTGCAGCCCACTCAGGACCTGAGGAGGCCGAAGTGGAAAGCACAAGGTGGCAAAGCAGGCTTAAGACTGAGTGGAGCAGACAAGGAGGTGATATACCAGCCACAAGAACAGGAGTGGAGGGAGTTCAACAGGAGAGCAGAAAGCACGCACAGAGAAGCACAGCGGAGCCTTGGGTTGTATAGTCAGCCAGCAAGCCAAAGCGAGGAGCCGAGTCGTTTGAGGCGCAGAAGCTTAGTCGACTGTGGGGTCGACGCATGGAGGCCCAGAGACAAAGGCTACAAGGCACGCCGGGCCGGCGACTGAAAAGCAAGATTAAGCAAACGTGGTGCCTTCCGGCGCCATGGCAATACAGCCAGGAGGATAGTGGCTGCAGCAGATGCAGAGCTTAACGCAGAACACCAAAGACATAAGGACCGCAAGTTGCGCAGCTGGAAGCAGAAGATGGTTGCCCTATGCCGGCCTTGGTGCTGGATGCAAACGAGCAGCCAACAGAAAGCGCGGAAGAGTCACTGGAAGTTCTGAAGGCCTACTGGAGGCAGAGGGAGACAGTCACACGGGTTGTGGCACTGCAGTGCCTTTGCAGGGAGTTTTCTTTCGCCAGCGCCGCAGTGGCTCATGTATGTTTGGTTCTGGCTCATGCTTGCGTGTTTGCGACTTGCATGTGCGTGTCAGGTTTGGCCCTTTTTTTATTAGTTTGATTTTGGGGCCGCCATGCTGGGGCCATGGTCTGCCGCCTTTCTGGAGGGGGGGGGGCCTGTCCTCAAAGACTAAGTACACAAGGTGTACGACGTGCTCGACAAGATGTGCCGAGTGCCGGAGCGTCCCGTGAGCGCACCCATGCGCATGCCCATCTCCGGCATCTACAAGATCAAGGGCGTGGGTGATGTGCTTGCAGGCGCTTGGGCCTTTCCCCCAAAGGGTGCAAGGGCATCCCCTGTTCAGGACCCTTCTTCCAAATTTCGAGGATGGCAGCCAAGTATTTGTTCAACGTCCCCTTTTCAGGCCCCTTTTCTAGTGATTTAGTGGCCTTTGTTTCTTTCTGCGGGTCGGAGAAAATCCTCCTGAGGCCGTGTGGAGCAGGGTGTGGTGAAGCCTGGTGAGGAGGTGGTGTTCCTGCCCACCCACACCGCCTCCAACCCTTGCACCGGCAAGGCGGGACCCCCAAAATGCGGATGTCCCTTTCATTTGAAAACCACGCCAACAATCAGAATGTTCCCTAAAATCATGAACATTGCCAGTGGTTTTCCCATTAGCAGCCCGTTGGTTCTATTTGGCTCTGTCCCCTACAAGAAGACTCAATGTCAGGTGTTCACTGTGGAGATGCACCACCAGCGTGTGGACTTCGCGAACCCGGGTGACAACGTGGGATTGAACATCAAGGGCCTGGACAAGAACAACATGCCGCGATCAGGGGATGCTTCGTTTGCACCCATGCTCTGACCTTTTTTTGTTTTGCACCGACCCTCTCACTCTCTGTGTTTTATGTTTTTCTTTCTGATCTTTTGAAGATGTCTCACGTTTATTAATTCCGCTTGTTTTGTCAAGGTCTCAAACATCAATGAACATGTTCATCCTTCCATACAGGCATACAGGAATCTGGCACATAGATTGTCCGGGACTTCGATAACTGGTTAGTAACGATGGTTATGACATACTTGCCATTGTTGTATGTTCCCCGAGCTAAGCAGCGCTTAAAGGGTTCGAGCAAGGACGTGATGGTCTACAAGAAGGACACCACCCTGGGCCAGACCAAGGAGTTCGATGCCCAGATCCAGGTCCTGGACATCCCCAACGAGATCAAGGTTCGGGTTTGAGCCAAAAAGGAGCTGTGGGCCCCAACAAGTCAAAGGGCGCTTGTTGAAGGCAAGGGGTCATTCTTAGATCTGTCTCATCTTTTGGCCTAGCTCAAATCGAAGGACGGCGAGCCCATGTTTCTATTTTGCTTAGGCCCCCGGAAAATAATAGTAGTTGATAGATTCCCTTCAAAACTAGAGATAAACATGTTCTTAAGTAGACGGAAGGACGTGTAATGCCTTGGAGGATTGATATTCATCCTGTGAACGGCCCCACCCTCTTGATTCTTTAGGGTGGTGGAAGTAAAGAGTCACCTGGAGCGAGGTGGGCTACTCACCCATCGGCTTCGTGCGTTGCGGCCGCGCCGCGTGCCGCGTGTCCGCGCTCAAGTGGAAGATGGGCAAGGACTGGCTTCATGAAGTAAATTGACCAACTTCATGAAGTAAATTGACCAATTCGCCGAGGACCTTCTTTGGTTTGGGGCAGGGAAATGGTTTCAAGAGGAACCTATTTTTCCAGGTCCCTCGCACCGGCGCCTTGTTGTCGGGGGAAGGTTGTCACGTTTTGTCTTTTGGATTGATATTTGAACCTGCCTTTTCGGAGGGCCATTTGGCAGTCACCTGAACTCGGCCAGGAGACAGGCGGCAAGAAGATGGAGGACCCTCACTCCCTCAAGTCCAACGAGATGGCCTCCCGATGAAAAGAAAGATACTATTTGAATGTGTGTTGTTTTGAGGCTCGGTACCCTTTTCGGATGAGTTTAAAGGAAGACCGAATGGAAAAGCAAATCATATTTTTTGGATACCCCTATTTTGCGACATTCGCTTTTGTCTAATTTCGGGTGGGTCAACTACGTAGGTGCAAAAGGAGATTCCTCTACTAAGGATGACTTTGGGGGTTCGATGATGGCAATTCAGGCACCACAGCTGATAGGTGACTTCTTCCATTGTTCATAGTGTTTCATCCATTCCGACCGCAGGTCCTTTCCCGGAAGGTTCATTTCCAGTTTGGAGATGATTGTCGTCAGATCATTGCCTAAACCACCCCAGGCTCAGTGCAGCTTCCAGCCCCAGCAGCCTTTGGTGTGCGACACCTTCAAGAACTGCGAGGGCTTGTCTCGCGTGGCCTTCATGGATGGCGACTTGCCTGTGGTTGGTGCTGAACGGGAAACCAAAGGGAAGCTAAGATCTGGGCCTGTTTTTTCTGGGTATCCTTTTCAGGCTTCAAATGGAAACCAGCAGGAATAATCCTTGTTGGGGTGCCCGAGTTTGGAGACTTAGTACTCAACTATGTGCGGTTCGGTCGAGGTATCTTCAATGGTTTGTGCTTTATTTGGGACAGGAACCTGAGGGACTCTCAATGTGTTTCCCACAAAAACATGGACTCGAGAAATTGTCGTATCCTTTACGGAAGCATCATATTTTGACCTTGGCTTATGTGGGCCTTGTTCCGGAGAACAGTCTCCGGAGGACTTCTTTTATAGTTCCATTTTTTCTGGAAGACTAGACAAAAAGACTAGACAAATGAACACGGGAACCTTTCCACCCACTTACCAAGAGGCCCAATCGATGCCCCATGCTTCAATCGTTTGTTGGACGGGGCGCCCTGTTTTGCCATGGCCACGTTGCTGAGGCAATGGCGTGGTGATGCTCGGCAAGGTGGTGAGCTGCGAGCGCAAGGGCGAGGACGACAAGGGCGGCAAGAAGAAGTAAGCACCGCCTATGGAGATGCCCTGAGTCTGGCTCCCATCTGAGTCCTGTCAGCAGGCCTTGGGCGCAGCTCATTTTTGGGGATGTACAGATGTGCAGAGATGTATAGAGACGTCAAGGGAGCAAAACAGCATTGGGGTGATTTCGAAGGCGTCGGTGCCCTTTGCCGTGCATGTTTGACCGACAGCTTTCCGTTTGTCAAACCTAGGCTTTTGCCCAGTTACTTGGGTCCTTTAAGTGGCGTTTGTGGGATCTTTGCAGCCATCCGTACCGATGCACACTTGTATGCGGGCGGAGCCCTCCATCCACTGAGAGAAAGCAGAGCTCCACGCTCTGATTTCTGGTCATTGTGTGCACACTCGCTTCGCAATAATCCAAACACTGCCTTGTCCATTGAGAGGAGGTTTCTTTCTAAGTTCCGTGGAGCTTCCTGGGCTCTTTGTTTGTGTGGTACCGCCAAGTCTTTGTGCCCCGCAGCCATTCGGCCGCCTCAGCTCAGCCCAGCATTTTTACATTCGGACAGAAAAATGCCGGCCAACTCTGAGAAGCAGCACCTGTCCATTGTCATCTGCGGCTCGGATGGTGTCTTTGGAGGATTTCCGTGAATCTGTCTACCAAAGCTGGGCCCTGGAAAATAGGCTTTGCGGGACTGAGGCAATGTAGTGTGAGTAATGTCCAACCAATTCGGTGATAGAGGACAACCGGAACCCCTTTTCCAATCAAGAATGGCTTTGGTCCAGTGATCCTAATTATCTATCCCTCAAGCTCCATGCAGGTCAACACTACCTCCCCTTCAAAATTGGGCAGCTGTGGCGGTTAACGCAAGCAAACATGAGCCTCTGGGTATGTCCTTCAGCCAAATATATCTTTCTTTTGCGAGAGAAGTGGTTGTCCTATCCCCAAGAAGTACATATTCTATGTGATCGTTCTTGCTTTGGATGCTTTCCGCAACAAAATCGAGAAACTCCCTGCAAACGACTATGTCTACGCTTTCAGGGCCGGAAACACCCGGCCGCACAGTGACACGCAGACACCGATGGATAGGCAAACTGACACACACACACACAGTCAGACACACACAGAGAGACAGTAGCACAATGCACACACACACACACACAGCCGCGTGCGCGCGTGCGTCGGCACACAGGCACACAAACACGCACAGAAACACAGGCATACAAACACAGACACACACACACAAACACAAACACAAACACAAACACAAACACAAACACAAACACAAACACAAACACAAACACAAACACACACACACACACACACACACACACACACACAACACAACACAACACAACACAACACAACACAACACAACACAACACAACACAACACAACACAACACAACACAACAACACAACACAACACAACACAACACAACACAACACAACACAACACAACACAACACAACACAACACAACACAACACAACACAACACAACACAACACAACACAACACAACACAACACAACACAACACAACACACAACACAACACAACACACAACACAACACAACACAACACAACACAACACAACACAACACAACACAACACAACACAACACAACACAACACAACACAACACAACACACACACAACACAACACACACACACACAACACACACACACACACACAAACACACCACACACCACACACACACACACACACACGCACACGCACACCCACACAGCACACCCGCACACCCGCACCCCCGCACCCCCACACCCCCGCACCCCCGCACACCCGCACACCCCCACACCCACACACCCACACACCCACACACCCACACACCCACACACCAACACACCCACACGCACACGCACACGCACCCGCACGCGCACGCGCACGCACGCACGCACGCGCGCACGCACACCCGCACAGGCGCACACGCGCACACGCGCACTCACGCACACGCATTCGCACACGCACACGCACACGCATTCGCACACGCACACGCACACACACCTGCACTGCACACACTGCACACACACACAACACACACACACACACACACACACACACACACACACACACACAGACACACAGACACACACACACACACAGACACACACACACACACACAGACACACAGACACACAGACACACAGACACACAGACACACAGACACACAGACACACAGACACACAGACACACAGACACACAGACACAGACACGCAGACACGCAGACACGCAGACACGCAGACACGCAGACACGCAGACACGCAGACACGCAGACACGCAGACACAGACACACAGACACACAGACACACAGACACACAGACACACAGACACACAGACACACAGACACACACACACACACAAACACACACACACACAAACACACACGCACACACACACACACACAAACACCTTTAAACGGCTTGAAGCCTGAAGCCTAGCCCTTTGAACCTGTCTCGTCCTTTGTGAACTGGCCACAATCAAACCCGGATAGTGACGGCTAGCAGGGGACAGTCCCAGCCTGAAATAGGTGCGGCCGCCGCTGTTTTTTTCTCACAGACACATTGAGTGCCATTTTAAACTCTGACTCTTGGTGGCAGGCAAGACGTGTCAATACCCTAAACTGGTACAGAGTTATTGGCTCACTTGCCCAAATCTGACCTTTTGACCACTTCTTGGTTCGGCCTACTTTTTGTCAAGGTCCCAAAAAGTGATCACCTTGTGTGTCCATTTCCTTTGGAAAAGTTGGGGTTTGTCCCAATCTAAACGTGTGTTCTTGGCGGCCTGAATAATGCCCTTGTGTGACTGTCCAGGGAGGCTTCTCACACCTCAAATTGGAGGGTCCGAATGTCCCCGCACCTAACCCGCCCCATTGGTTGCTGAAAGGAAATAATCAAGAGGAAAGAAGGTGTTTGGTAACAGCCATATAGACGGGCCTTGCTTGGGCATCGGCAGACCCCCCTATTGTAGAGGGATTCCAAGGGAATGTTGTGTTTGTTCCAACTAAAACGGCGAATGCTTGCGCATGTTGCAACCATCGCACTTATGGGTATTTGCGCAGGTGTAGAAATCGGAAAATACACCAAGAGCACCACCGTTCTGTCCAATGTGTTTTGGAGAGAAGTTAATGTTTACCTATTTCTGTTTGCTTGTGTGTTGCCATTTTGAGATGAGCCCATTTGTGCCACGGTCGCAACTGTTCTGGGGGCCGTTGAGACGGTCAACACAAACCTCGTTATTGGAAGACACATTGAGAGAGCCACTCAGGGACCATGGCACATTTGGTTTAGGCTAAATGTGGATAGGGTGGACCTTTTATGGGCCAGAACCTGAACAATGGTTTGGGTGTATCCCAGATTTGTGTACATATGTGTATTTGTTGAGGGTACTTTTGTTAGGATAGCCACCAGTTTGGGTTTGGGATTCCTTTGATGACATGCTCATTTCAGGTTTGGTCAAGATGTGCTGAGGTGTCTATAGTTCATTTGAGAGGGACAGTCCATTTGGGGACGAGGAGGGATTCACGTGTCTTTCGTCCCAATTTTGGCACATACCCATTTGGGCCAAGATTTGCTTGTTTGGTTTCGGTTTTGCCCAGATATGTTTGAAAGGAACAGGGTCCAAAAACGAGTCTTAGTGGTCCAACGCCAAGTTCTGTTTGGGGCGAGGCGGCCATGTCGACAGTGGCAAGAGCACCACCACGGGGCGCCTCATCTTCGAGCTGGGTGGCCTGCCGGAGCGTGAGCTGGAGAAGCTGAAGGCGGAGGCGGATCGTTTGGGCCACTTGGCGATTCAGCAATGTGGTTGAGAAGAACCTGGAGACTCCTCACATTGTTTATGTTATTGCTACCTTCTAGCTGATTGACGCTTGATGCCAAATTCATGTTGGCATCTCGGTCAAGATTGACCAGGTGTTCCCTTGGCAGAGCACTTTCTACTAACATGTTGCACCGTGATGGTGCATTTGGCCAGGAAGAGGGTCGGCTGAGTGTATCATACACAGCTTCATTCGTCACAACATGTGGTCTCCTCAGGTTGGTTGCGCTGCAAAAACACCCCTCCTGAAGCATCATGTTAGTGGGAGGGAGGGTAGGCTATGTGCGACCTGATTTGTGTTGTTGTGTATCTCAGGCAAGGGCTCTTTCGCATTTGCCTTCTTCATGGACCGTCAGAAAGAAGAGCGTGAGCGTGGTGTCACCATCTCCTGCACCACCAAGGACCGCATCCCAAAGCCAAGGCCACCATTTGTCCCCCGCGGGGGAAATATGGTCATTTGATTCCTTCATGCCCCACTGGATGTGTTGTTTGTGCTTGAGTGTGTTTCGCAAGCTTGCGCTGGTTTCACGTTCATGCTCTTTGCAGGTTCATTTGTGTCAGACCTGCTCAATCGAGGGTCCAATCAGGGGCCATCTTTTTGACAGTCCCCGCAGCTGTTTTATTTTTGCTGCGTTTCCCTTCTGGCTTAGTCCCTTCCAGTCCTATGGCAAACCAATCCAAACCAATTGCGGATAGGATGGCTTTTTTTATGACACCCCCGGAGATACTTGCAGGAGTTCTTTACCGAGAAGTGGCATTACACGATCATCGATGCCCCCGGTGTCTTGGCACACTTAGATGTCCCAGACAAATGGCTGAATGGTAGTGACGGGTTTATAGCTTGGCCAAGCACCCAAGTATACCCGGTGGAACGTGACTGGGGTTTGGGTTGGAGCATTTTCCTCTGCCAGGGGCCTTCTGGTAGGGTTCCAGGCCAGTTCACGGGACGGTACGTTGGTTCAAGTCGCATCGACCTTTCAACCTTTCGCCTGTCCTGTTTGGGCAAAACCCGGTCTTGAAGAACACAGACAGCATGTTGATTTTGTCAGCTTAGCTTTTGAACAGTCGAGCTCTTGACCTTTTTGATGATTTGTGTGGGCTCATTTTGGTTTGTGTTTCGTTGGGCGAGATGAACAAATGGGAAGGAATTGCAGAACAGCATTACCCCAGTTGTTAGGTGGTGGCCAGGGTCCCGTTTTTTGACTACCCCAAGGCAGACTTAAACCCAGGGGTGGTTGATTCCTCCAAAAGGGACAATTCTGGGTTTAAGTCTACCCCAAGGCAGTCAACAAAAATGGAACCCTGGTTGTGGCACCCTGTTTCTTCCTTTGTTTCGTTTGGTGGTAGGAGAGCCGCACCGAGAGGTCACCGAGACTTCATCAAGAACATGATTACGGGCGCCTCGCAGGCTGACGTGGCACCTCGGCGCTTCGCAAGTTGCGAAGCTTTTCGACGTTTGTCATCTGCCCCTCAGCGTCCAAGTCCAAGTACTTGAGGTACTTCAGGAGGTACTTTGACCGCTTGCAACCCCTGAAAAGCCATCAAAGGGTGGTTGCAGCATGTGTTTCATTTTGGTTTCCCGTCAACTACCAGCCAAAAGGAGACTTTTCCGAAAATAGTTTTGATGACTCCTTGAGGCACTGATCATGGTCCCGGCCGATGGCAATTTTACCACCGCCATCGCGAAGGGTAACCACAAGGCCGGAGAGATCCAGGGCCAGACTCGGCAGCACTCCCGACTCATCAACTTGCTGGGAGTGAAGCAGACTCTCGGCAGGCAGCCCTCAAGCAAGATAACCCGAAACAAAAACGGGATCCATGTTTTTGTTTGGACTATTTGTTGGGGAACTCCACGGTCGATGTTCTGATCAGTTTGTGGTTTTTTTGTTCAGGTTTACTCCACTTTGAGTTTGGTGAGTTTTCCCAGGTTCTCACTTGCCGCCAGGCAACCTGAACTATTGGTGTTTCTCAAAAAAAAGGAACCCTTCTTGGTGGTTAATGTCCTTTGGTTACTCTTTGAAACCATGCCAAAGGGGCGTCCAGAATTTTGTAGAATCATGAAATTCCGGTTCCTTGGAAAGGGTGGCATCGTAAGGATCTGCATCGGCGTGAACAAGATGGACTGCGACACCGCGGGCTACAAGCAGGCCAGGTACGATGAGATCGCCAACGAGATGAAGAGCATGCTGGTGAAGGTGGGGCGTCCGTCTGAACTATCTGCGCGCAAAGCGAATCCTTCTCGGACCTTTGGGCTTCCAGTTGCGCTTTTTTGTTCCTGCCCTCCGAGCCTAGGGCATCTCCATAAGATTTCGTTCTCCTGAATGAAGGGTAATGGTGCTACAGGCGTGCCGCCACCTTGTCGTGTTGTTGTCGCTGTTTGGTCTATCTATTGCTTTCGGTTGCTTCTTTGTTCTCCGGGGATGGCAAGTATACTACGAGGTGGGCTGGAAGAAGGACTTCATCGAGAAGAACACCCCGGTGATGCCCATCTCCGGTTGGATGGGGGACAACCTCCTGAAGAAGTCCGACAACATGGGCTGGTGGAAGGGCCAGGACAGCGCAATCCTTCCACCCCACTTAGATGGTCCAGGAGTTAGCTATTAAATGGTCAGCAACCCTGGTAACAACCTACTTAACATGAGGGTTCCAGCCCTGACCCTGTGACAGTGGAAGTTCTTTGGCTTGCTTGGCTTTAGGGAATCTATCGGTGTGTTCCATGTTGGGGGGAGGGTAGTAGACTTCCCCAAAACGTTCCACTGCCAGGATGTGGAGGTTGGCAGCGAGACCATCCACGTGGACACCGTTTCTCAGCCTTCAGGGGGCGTTTTGAGGTCGGACAGGAAAGCCATCGGAAAATGTGCTTTTGTTTTCGGGTGGTCTTTTTGTCAAGTTTTTCCGGAAGGCTAATGGGAAATCACATGTTGCGTTGCGTTGGACTTACTTTTTGGGAAGATCCATCAGTGGGAAAGAAAACACATGTCCTTTCTGTTGGCCAATGCACTCAGGAAGTAAGTCTAAATTCCTATTTGTTTGCTGTTTGGGACCCTAATTAAAATGGATGTCCCCAAAAGGGTCCATTACCTATTCTACCAGTGATACCTGGCAAATGGGTTTCTTTAGGTCGCAAAATTACTCTACGGGGTGGGCTTTCCTTTGAAATCAACCAATAAATCAAAGTTTGTCAGTGTATTCTTTCTCCCCGCATGTTCACAAGGTGTACGACGGGGATAAACCAATGTGTGCGTGTTAGGTTCGGCCCTTTGGGGCCGCTATGGTGGGGCCATGGTCCGTCGCCTTTTCGGAGGGGGGCCTGTCCTCAATGAATAACCACACAAGGTGTACGACGTGCTCGACAAGATGTGCCGAGTGCCGGAGCGTCCCGTGAGCGCACCCATGCGCATGCCCATCTCCGGCATCTACAAGATCAAGGGCGTGGGTGATGTGCTTGCAGGCGCTTGGGCCGTTCCTCCAAAACCGGGTGTTGCAACCCCGAAGTAGTCAAAGGGCATCCCCTGTTCCGCAAAAAAGCAAGAATGGCAGTCGACTAATTCATTTGTTCCTTCTAAAGTAGCCCTTGATTCTTTCTGGGGGTCAGAGAGAATCCTCCTGAGGCCGTGTGGAGCAGGGTGTGGTGAAGCCTGGTGAGGAGGTGGTGTTCCTGCCCACCCACACCGCCTCCAACCCTTGTACCGGCAAGGCGGGCTCAAAACGCGGATGTCCCTTTCATTTCAAAATCACGCCACGTTCCCAAAAATCATGGAATTGGCCTGTGGCTGCCCATCACCATGTTTGAAACCACCCCACACATGTGTGTTTTGTTGTTCCCCTACAAGACACAACCTCAGGTGTTCACTGTGGAGATGCACCACCAGCGTGTGGACTTCGCGAACCCGGGTGACAACGTGGGATTGAACATCAAGGGCCTGGACAAGAACAACATGCCGCGATCAGGGGATGCTTTGTTTGCACCCACCCTTTGACCGTTTGTTTGTTTTTGCATCCACCTTTGACCCTTGGTGTTTATTTCCTGTTTTGCCTTCTGACCTGTTTGAAGATGTCTCATGAGTTCCGCTCGTCTTGTCAATGGCTCACACGTCAATTACCTTTTCTTTCTGGGACCTGTGGGCAAGTGACAAGTGCGACTATGAACATCTTGACCCTTGCATGCAGGAATCCGGTACATAGGACTTCGATAAATGGTTAGTAACCACGGTTATGACATACTTACATATACTTACCATTGTTGTAAGTCCCCCGAGTGGGTAATAGCCGTGGTCCCTGGCTGGGCAGTTCTTAAAAAGGCGGACCGCCTTTTGGATGGTTTTGAAGGCGAACAACAGGAACCCTGCCTTTTTAGTGATTCCCCAATTTGGAGAAGCACCCATCTAAGTAGCGTTTAAAGGGTTTGAGCAAGGACGTGATGGTCTACAAGAAGGACACCACCCTGGGCCAGACCAAGGAGTTCGATGCGCAAATCCAGGTCCTGGACATCCCCAACGAGATCAAGGCGGGATTTTCCAAGCCAAAAAGGAGCTGTGGGGCCCCACAGTTCAAGGGGCACTTCCGCACTTCAGGTCCCTTTTAGTTTCTCATTTTCCCCGTTGGTTTTAAAGGCAAGTGATCATTGGTAGATCTGTCTCATCTTTTGGCGTAACCCAAATCGAAGAACGCCAAGCCCGTGTTCAGGCCCCTTTTAAGGTACCCTTGTGATTCTTTATGAGGGCGGAAACAAGATGTCACCTGGAGCAAGGTGGGCTACTCACCCATCGGCTTTGTGCGCTGCGGCCGCGCCGCGTGCCGCGTGTCCGCGCTCAAGTGGAAGATGGGCAAGGACAAGCTTTGTGAAATTGACCACTTCGCCGAGCCGTCGAAACTTTCAAAGATGACGTTCTTTGGTCTGGGAGTCTGTTGATCTAGGAGCTTGGTCTAGATTGACCGTGCTTGGTGGTTAACTATCTCCAACAGACATGACACCTGGTAGGGGCATGGTCTCACGAGGAACCTGTGTCTCTCGCACAGGCGCCTTGCTCGGCTGATCGGAGGGCATGTTGGACTTTGGAAGTCACTTGGGCCCGGCCAGGAGACAGGCGGCAAGAAGATGGAGGACCCTCACTCCCTCAAGTCCAACGAGATGGCCTCCCGACCAAAAGAAAGATAATCGTTGATTGTGCGTTGTTTTGCTTAGTACCCTTTTCAGGTTAGTTTAAAGGAAGACATAGTGGAAATGCAATGCTTTTTTTAGCCCCTATTTTGACCCATTCGCGTTTGTCCAGTTTCGGGCGTGTCAACTACGTGCAAGACCTGATTCCTCTACAACGGATGACTTTGATACACCGCCCCAGGCTCAGTGCAGCTTCCAGCCCCAGCAGCCTTTGGTGTGCGACACCTTCAAGAACTGCGAGGGCTTGTCTCGCGTGGCCTTCATGGATGGCGACCTGCCTGTGGTTGGAGCTGAACGGGAAACCAAAGGGAAGCTAAGATCCGGGCCTGTTTTTTCAGGCCGCTTATGTGGGTGTGGTTCCTCGTTTTGAAGCTCGGCACCCTCCCTTCCTCGCTCATGTGATAATAGTTCCCATGGCGCAGGTGTACCAATCACTGCCACATGATGACATGTGACTCGACAGCAACATTGAAAGCACACACACAGACCTTTCGATCTTTCTGGGTCCTTATTGTTGAATTACCAATCATTTTGGAGTCACCCTCATGATTTCTGTCGCCCCATTTCTGTCTTCGCGTGCGCTGTGAGTGCATGTTTCGGTGTGCACAAGGAATACACAAAGGACATGCCAAGATATGGCAGGCAATCGTTGCGCCAACTGGTGGCAGCCATGAAATGGGCTGTGTGAACTTTGAAGACAAAAGTAGAGCGATCAGGACTAACCTCCCAGCACACGCTTGTGTGGCGGGTGCGCTGCCATTGCACCATGGCTCCTTCGTATCCCCAGGGCGAATCTGGGCAAGTTGGATGCAAGAACCAGAGTTGACGCAAGCTTACCTTCCAGGTTGTGGCTGCTCCAAGTTCTTGCAGCACAGAGTCATGAATGAAAGGAACTCCAAAACACAACACAAGTGAGGTGAAGGTGGCTGGTGTCCTTTTTGTCACGTGTACTCATGCAATCCTTCCATTCGGACTGTGGCTCAACATTAAACAACTTGGGGTCCCACCAACATGGACGCTCAGAACGTCGTCTCAATCGACAGGGACCTCCAATAAGGTTCCATGTTGGTGCATAGGAGGGGTGGACAATCTTCCGGAAGAAATGAATAACTAGCAGGGCGACCCTGGAATTCATTTGTAGTTCCATTTTACCGGAAGACTGGAAGACTAGACAAATGCACACGGGAACGCTTCCACCCGCTAGCCAAGACACCCATGCCCTTGTTTCCATGTTTTTTTTTGACGGTGACGGGCGACTTTAAACGCCCGCACGAAAACAAGGGCGCCCTTTTTTGCCATGGCCATTGTTGCACTGTTGCTGAGGCAACGGCGTGGTGATGCTCGGCAAGGTGGTGAGCTGCGAGCGCAAGGGTGAGGACGACAAGGGCGGCAAGAAGAAGTAAGCACCGCCTCAGGAGATGCCCTGAGTCTGGCTCCCATCTGAGTCTGGTTTCATGGAGTCTGGCTCCCATCTGAGTCCTGTCAACAGGCCTTGGGCGCAGCTCAGTTTTGGGGATGTATAGATGGCTGAGATGTATAGAGATGTCAAGGGAGTAAAACAGCCTTGGGGTGATGTCGAAGGCGTCGCTTTGTGTTTTTCGGCACGCGTGTTTGACCGAGGTTTCCGGTCGTCAAACCTGGGCTTTTGCCGAGTTACTTGGGTCCTTTAAGTGGCGTTTGTGGGATCTGTGCAGACGTGCATGTGCAATTTGTACTGATGCCCCCCGAATTTGTACGCGGGCAGAGCTCTCCATCCATCGAGAGAAAGCAGAGCTCTGATTTGTGGTCATTGTGTGCACACTCGCTTGGCAATAATCCAAACACTGCCTTGTGAGGTTTCTTCATAGGTTCCGTGGAGCTTCCTGGGCTCTTTGTTTGGGTGGTACCGCCAAGTCTTTGTGCCCCGCAGCCATTCGGCCGCCTCAGCTCAGCCCAGCAGTTTGGATTCGGACAGAACAATGCCGGCCAACTCTGAGAAGCAGCACCTGTCCATTGTCATCTGCGGCTCGGATGGTGTCTTTGGAGGATTTCCATTTATTTGTCTACCCGGCTGGCACCCTATATTGTCGGACTGGGTTTGCGTAAAGTGGGGGTGTATGTGGCAAATGTCGTCAATCTGAGTGTATATGTATATAGAATAAAAGCGGGGAAACTCTGGGTAGAGTATAGATGTCCTTGGTTTCAGCTTGGATTGAATTTGCGAAAATATCTGCTGCCCAAAGGTTTCAAAAGCCGGGCTGGGAATCTGGGAACAGGCTTTTGCGGGACAGGAATGTAATGTCCAACCAATTCTGTGATAGCCGACAACCGGTAAGCGACCCCTACAGCCGATCCCTCGAGCTCCATGGTCAACACTAGCCCCCTTCAAAATTGGGCAGCTGTGGTGCTCTGGGTATGTCCTTCAGCCAAATGTCTATTTCTTGCGCGAGAGTGTTTTTTTCTTATCACCAATCAGTGCATATTCTATATGATTCTTCTTGCCAACAAATTGAGGGACTCGCAGCAAACTACTATATCTAGACTTTAGAGCGGGAAAGACCCGGGCGCGCACGGACACGCAGACACCAATGGATGCGTGCGCGCAATGGTAGGCACAAAGGCGCACGAACACGCACAGACACATGGGCGAACACATACACACATACACACTTACACACATACACACATGCAAGCATGCACACATCTACAGATGCACAAATGCAGAAACACAGACATACACACATGCATACATGCATGCATGCATGCGCGATGGCATGTATGCATACATACATGGACACATACACACATACATACATACATCCATACATACATGCATGCATGCATACACGCATACACGCATATCTACACGCATACACCCATACAAGCATGCACGCATACACGCATACACCCATACACGCATACATGCATACACGCATACACGCATACACGCATACACGCATGTACAGATGCACAAATGCACAAATGCACAAATGCACAAAGCACAAATGCACAAACACATACATACAAACACATGCAAAAATGCATGCATGCATGCGCGATGGCATGTATGCATACATACATGCACACGTACACACATATATACATACATACATACATGCATGATTGCATGCATGCATACATACACACATACACATACACACATACACACATACACGCATACACGCATACACGCATACACACATACACGCATACACGCATACACGCATACATACACGCATACACGCATGCACGCATAACCCCATACACGCATACACGCATACACCCATACACCCATACAAGCATACACGCATACACCCATACACGCATACACGCATACACAGATACGCACATACACGCATACACGCACGCATACACGCATACACACATACACGCATACACGCATACACGCATACATGCACACATGCATACACGCATACACGCAGACACGCAGACACGCAGACACACATACAAGCATACACGCATACACACATACACGCATACACACATACACGCATAGACGCATACACACATACGCGCATACACGCATACACACATACACGCATACACAACACGCATACACGCATACACCGCATACACCGCATACACCGCATACACGCATACACGCATACACACATACACGCGTACACACATACACACATACACACATACACGCAAACACGCAGACACGCAGACACGCAGACACACATACACACACGCATACACGCATACACGCATACGCACATACACGCGTACATGCAGACACGCATACACGCACGGAAACACACACACACACACGCATACACGCATACACGCATACACACATACACGCAGACCCGCATACACGCATACACACATACACGCATACACACATACACGCATACATGCATGCACGCATTTACAAATTCAGGCATACACACATACACGCATACACCATACACGCATAAACGCATACACACATACACGCATACACGCATACACGCATACACGCATACACACATACAAGCACACACGCGTACACGCATACACACATACACGCATACACACATACACCGCATACACCGCATACACCGCAAACACGCATACACGCATACACGCATACACACATACACGCATACACACATACACGCACACACGCATACGCGCGCACACACACACGCATACACACATACACGCATACACGCATACACAGACGCACGGAAACACGCACACACGCATGCACTCACACACGCGCACACGCATACTCACATACAAGCATACACGCATACACGCATACACACATACACGCATACACGCATACACACATACACGCATACACGCAAACACACAAACACGCACTTACGCATACACGCATACACACACACACGCAGACAGGCACACACGCATACACGCATACACACATACACGCACACACGCATACACACATACACGCATACACACACATACACACACATACACACATACACACATACACGCATACACGCATACACGCATACACGCATACACACACATACTCGCACACACGCACACACGTAAAGACGCACACACGCATACGCGCATACACACATACACGCACACACGCATACACGCATACACGCACACACACATACACACACACGCATAAACACATACACGCATACGCGCATACACGCAGACACGCATACACACACACACACACACACACGCATACACACATGCACGCATACACACATACTCGCATACACACATACACGCATACACGCATACACGCATACACAGACACACGCATACACGCATGCACACATGCACGCATACACGCATGCAGGCATACACACATACACGCACACACACACACACATACGCGCATACACGCATACACGCACACGCGCATACACGCATGAACACACACACGCACACACGCATACACACACACACACACACGCACACACACACACATACACGCATACACACATACACACATACACGCAAACAGGCATACACGCATACACGCATACACACATACACGCATACACGCATGCACACATACACACATACACACATACACGCATACACGCATACACACATACACACATACATGCATACACGCACACACGCATACACACATGCACACATACACGCACGCACGCATACACACATACACGCATACACACATACACGCATACACACACACACGCACACACACATACACGCATACACACACATACACACATACACGCATACACGCACACAACACGCACACACGCATGCACGCATACACGCATACACGCATACACGCATGCACGCATACACAGATACACGCATACACGCATGCACGCATACACACATACACGCATACACGCATACACACATGCACACATACACACATACACGCATACACGCATGCACACATACACACATACACGCATACACGCATACACACATACACATACACGCATACACGCACGCACGCATACACACATTCACGCATACACACATACACGCATACACGCATACACAGATACACGCATATACGCGTGCACGCTTACACAGATACACGCATACACGCATACACGCATACACGCACGCACGCATACACACATACACGCATACACACATACACGCATACACGCATACACGCATACACAGATACACGCATACACGCATGCACGCATACACAGATACACGCATACACACATACACGCATACACGCATACACGCATACGCAGATACACGCATACACACATGCACACATACACACATACACGCATACGCGCATTCACGCATACACACATGCACACATGCACGCACGCACGCATACACACAGACACGCATGCACGCATACACAGACACACGCATACACGCATACACAGATACACGCATACACGAATGCACGCAGACACAGATACACGCATACACGCATGCACGCATACACGCATACACAGATACACGCACACACGCATGCTTGCATACACGCATACACGCATACACACATGCACACATGCACACATACACACATACAAACATACACGCATACACGCATACACACATACACGCACACACACATACACGCACACACACATACACGAGTACACACATACACGCATACACGCATACACGCATACACAGATACGCATACACGCATGCACGCATACACAGATACACGCATACACGCATGCACGTATACACGCATACACACATGCACACACACACACACGCACGCACGCATACACTTATACACACATACACACATGCACGGATACACGCATGCACACATACACTCATACACGCAGACACACATGCACACATACACGCATACACGCACGCACGCATACACACATACATGCATACACACATACACGCATACACAGATACACGCACACACACATGCACACATGCACACAGGCACACATACACGCATACACGCATACACACATGCACACATACACACATACACGCATACACGCATACACGCATACACACATGCACACATACACGCACGCACGCATACACGCATACACACATACACACATGCACACATACACGCATGCACACATACACGCATACACGCATACACACATGCACACATACACGGATACACGCACGCACGCATACACACATACACGCATACACACAGACACGCATGCACGCATACACAGATACACGCATACACTCATGCACACTCACACACATACACGCATACACGCATACACGCATACACACATGCACACATACACGCATACACGCATACACGCATACACGCATACACGTATACTCACATACACGCATGCACACATACACGCGTACACGCATACACACATACACGCATACACGCATACACACATGCACACACACACGCATACACGCCCGCACGCATACACACATACATGCATACACACATACACGCATACAAGCACACACGCATACACAGATACAGGCATACACACATGCACACATACACACATACACGCAGACACGCATACACACATGCACACATACACGCACGCACGCATACACGCATACACACATACACACATGCACACATACACGCATGCACACATACACGCATACACAAATACACGCATACACGCATACACGCATACACGCATACACGCATACACACATACACGCATACACGCATACACACATACAAACATGCACACATACACGCATGCACACATACACGCATACACACATACACACATACACGCATACACGCATACACACATGCACACATACACGCATGCACACATACACGCATACACACATACACTCATACACGCATACACGCATACACACATACACGCATACACACATACACGCATACACACACACCACACACTTACACACACGCACGGAAACCTGAAACCTAACCCTTTCAACCCGTCGCGTCCTTTTTCAATCTGGTGTCACAATCAATCCCGGGTAGTGGAAACCCAAATAGGTGCGGCCGCCGTTGTGATTCGTTGTACGTTTTTCTTGAACAAGACGTGTCAATTCCCTAAACTAGTACTGATTTACTGGCTCACTTGCCCAAAGCTGACCTTTTTACCTTTTCCTGGCTTGGCCTACTTTTCATCAAGGTCGCAAAAGGTGATCACCTTTTGTTTCCATGTCCTTTCGGCAAGTTGGGGATTGTCCCAATCTAAGCATGCGTTCTTGGCGGCCTGAAAAAAGTGTGTGAGTGTCCAGGCAGGCGTTCTCACAACTCAAGTTCGAATGTTCCCACACCTAATCCCACCCCATTGGTTGCTGAAAGGAAATCAAGAGGAACGGAGTTGTTTGGTAACAGTCATATAGACGGGCTTTGCTTGGGCGTGGGCAGAATTATTCCCTGTTGCACAGGGGTTCGATTGTGAAATTTGGCTGTGGGTCAAACATATGTACCCAAAATGGAATCCTGGTAAATGGAAACATGGACTAAAACCTGCGTAACCCCTCCTGTTTAATTTTGAGCCATACTCATTTGTTTTGTTTGTGCGGCTGGCGGCCTTTACCATTCCTTGTAAATTCTTGAATGGTAGGGATGACACGAGTTGCTGGCTGACAAGCCCGTTGACCCGGGCGCTATTTGGTCAGAACTTGTTTCCGCCTTTTGATTTGGGAAACATTGTAATTTTTCCAACTAAAGCGGCGAATGCTTTGCGGGTTGCAACCGTCGCACTTGTTGGTATTTACGCAGGTGTGGATATCGGATACACCAAGAGCACCACAGTTCTGTCCAATGTGTTTTGGAGAGACATGTTTACCCCTTTTTGTTTGTCTGTGTGTTGCTATTTTGAGATGAGCTTATTTGTGCCATGGCCGCAACTGTTCTGGGGCCTGCAGAGACGGTCATGAATCCCGTTGTTGCAAAACACTTCTGACAACCAGTATAAGGATTCCCATGAGGCCCATTGAGAGAGCCACTCGGAGTTTTGACCATGACATATTTGGTTTAGGCTAAATGTGGATAGGATAAACCTTCTATGGGATCCCAGATTTGTGTGGCTGTGCGTTTTTGTTGAGGGTACTCTTGTTAGGAAAGCCACCAGTTTGGGAGTGGCATTCCTTTGACACATGCTCATTTCAGGTTTTTGCAAGATGTCCTGAGTCGTCTATAGTTCATTTGGGGAGGGATGACAGTCCATTTGACGAGGAGGGACTCACGTTTCTTTCGTCCCAATTTTGGCACATACCCATTTGGGCCAAGATTTGCGTGTTTGAAAGGAACAGGGTCCAAAAACGAGTCTTAGTGGTCCAGCGCCAAGTTCTGTTTGGGTCGAGGCGGCCATGTCGACAGTGGCAAGAGCACCACCACGGGGCGCCTCATTTTCGAGCTGGGTGGCCTGCCGGAGCGTGAGCTGGAGAAGCTGAAGGCGGAGGCGGATCGTTTGGGCCACTTGGCGATTCAGCAATTTGATTGAGAGGAAAGCCTAGAGACTCCTCAGATTGTTAATGTTGTTGCTACCTTCTAGCTGATTGACGCTTGATGCCAAGTTCATGTTGGCCTCTCAGTCAAGATTGACCAGGTGTTCCCTTGGCAGAGCACTTTCTACCATGCTGGGTCAACCGGGTGGTGGGGGTTTGCCGCGCTTCGTGGCCGGCCAGCTCGAAACAGGCCCGTTTGCCATCTAGCTTCCCCCACGCCCCTCATCCTTGCAGCGTACATGTTGAGGCAACGCAGAGCAAGTTTGCTGCACAAATGCTGGTAAAACACCGGTGGTTTGCGCGCGTGAGCAACTATGTGTAGCAGGTGCCGCAAAAACTGCACGATGCCAGGGTAAGGGCCGTGGTGCCAATCTCGATCACTGTAGTGACTTTCGCAGTTCTGGGGCCTCCTCAAATGACGTTGTGCAGGGAACCTAGGGAAAGGCACGGATGTGGGGAGGGCTATGCATTTGCAACCCTGATTGATTGAATAGACTTCCCCCCACATGCCGGCAAATTTGTGGTTCGTGTTTCTGGGTTGAAAGGGGGAACACCTGGGATGGGTCTGTGCAGTTTCCGATCAAGGAAGATTAAGAAGCCTGCTGGGATGTCCGCGAATCGGTATCTAAACTAACGTGGGTGTGCTTTAGGCTACCCTTTTGGCGGTTGGGATGAAGGAGCCCAAAAATGAAACCATTGTTTCTGGGGCCCAGACAAACCCATACATGTGAGGATACTAAGCTGCTGAGAACAATGTGTGTGGTGGAAGGTTCCTACGGCATTGTTCGTGTCAAGGCCGTCTACGCATGTGTGTGTGTGTGTGTGTGTCCGCGGTTGGTGTGAGTCTGTGTGCTATGTGTGTGTGTGTGTGTCCTGTCGTGTCGTGTCGCCTCGCGTCGTGTCCTGTCGTGTCATGTCGTGTCGGGTCATGGTATAGTGTGTGTGCCTGTGTGTGTGTGTGTGTGTTTGTGCGTGTCCGTGTCCGTGTCCGTGTCCGTGTCCGTGTCCGTGTCCGTGTCCGTGTCCGTGTCCGTGTCCGTGTCCGTGTCCGTGTCCGTGTGTGTGTGTGTGTGTGTGTCTGTGTCTGTGTCTGTGTCTGTGTGTGTGTGTGTCTGTCTGTGGTGTGTGTGTGTGTGTGTCTGTGTGTGTGTGTGTCTCTGTGTGTGTGTGTGTGTGCGTGTTTGTGTGTCTCTGTCTGTGTGTCTCTGTGTGTGCGTCTGCGTGTGTGGGTCTCCGTGCGTCTCTGAGTGTGACTCTGTGTCTGTTTGTGTATGTGTGTGTGTGTCTCGGTGTGTCTGTGTGTGGCTGTGCGTGTTTGTGCGCCTCTGTCCGTCTCTGTGTGTCTCTGTGTGTCTCTGTGTGTCTCTGCGTGTCTGTGTGAAACCTCTGCGTGTCTCTATGTGACTCTGCTTGTCTCTTGGTGTCTCTGTGTGTTTTGTGTGTGTGTGTGTGTGTTTTTTTTAAAGGTGTGTGTGTGTGTGTCCATTTTGTTGTAGCATAAGATGCACCTATGCTACACTCATGGCTTCAAAGCCGGCCCTTTGTAGACTTTTGGTTTCCAGATGCCGGTTGAGCTTGTCGTCATGAAATGGTTGCGCTCCAAACCATCCCGTCATGTTCGTGGGAGGGACGGTTACCTATGCACGACCTGATTGATGTCGTATCGTCCCTCAGGCAAGGGCTCTTTCGCATTTGCCTTCTTCATGGACCGTCAGAAAGAAGAGCGTGAGCGTGGTGTGACCATCTCCTGCACCACCAAGGACCACATCCTAACACCTTTCCACCATTTTGTTTTCGCGGGGAAAACATGGCCATTTGATTCCTTCATGCCCCACAGGATGTGTTGTTTGTGTCTTTTGTTTTGTTTTTTGTAGGTCCATGTGCGCCAACGGTCAGACCTGCTTAATCCAGGGTCCGACGCACCCTCCCCCAGCTGTTTTGTTTGGCCCTGTTACACATTTTCCCTAGTTGGCGGTTTGGAGTGGTGGTTTTTGTTGTGGCTTAGTCTTTTCCAGTGGTTCAAATCCCAATCCAAACCACTAATCCAAGCCACCAACGGCAGGTAGGATGACAATTGTTCTAAGACACGCAGGAGTTCTTTACCGAGAAGTGGCATTACACGATCATCGATGCCCCTGGTGTCTTGGCACACCTAGATGTTCCGGACAAATCGCTAAATGGTAGTGACGGGGAACTCGCCTCGGGCAAGCCGAGCTCACCATAATTTTGGTCCTTTACGTGGCGATCCAGAACCACGTTGCCGCGGATTCTTGTGCTTTAGTTTTACAAGGACAGGTTGTTCACAGATACCCTCCCACCCACCAGCATGGAAAATTGGATTTCCTGGGTTCCTTGGATGTTCGGACGTAAGCTTAACTCGGGTGGGTTGGAACATGTTCCTCTACAAGGGGCCTTCTGCTGGGTTCCATGCCAGTTGGTGGGAGGGTACGTGGGCTTGAACAATCCTGGTTCAAGTCGTGTCGACCTTGCACCCTTTCGCTTGCCCTGTTTTGGTCCGCCCGTGGGTTTGATCTTCTCTTTCCAGGCCTTTTGGGCGCAAGCAACACAAAGTCTGTCACTTCCTCCCCCACCCCCACATGGGTACACCAAACACAGCAAAGTTTTGGGTTGGGCCGGGCACTTACACACATGGGATTGAACAATGGGCAAAAAAGTTAGCCGGATCATTGACACGGACAGCACCTTGTTGGTCAACCGAGGTTAGCTCTTGAGCTGTCGAGCTTTTGACCTTTTGGTTGAGCGCGCTCGTTCGACTCTGTTTTTTATTGTTGTTGGGTGCGATGAATGAATGGGAAGGAGGAAGTACAGGACAGGAGTATTGCCCCAGTGTTCATTGGCACCTTTTTTTGTATTGTTTGTTTGCTGGTAGGGAGAGTTTCCGCACCGAGAGGTCACCGAGACTTCATCAAGAACATGATTACGGGCGCCTCGCAGGCTGACGTGGCACCTCGGCGCTTCGCAAGTTGCGAAGCTTTCGACGTTTGTCAGCTGCCCCTCAGTGTCCAAGTCCAAGTATATACTTGAGGAGGTACTCTGACCGCTTGCAACCCTTCAAAAGCCATCAAAGGGTGGTTGCCAGCTCAGCTCGTCGACAAATAGAAATCCCCCGAAATCAATATGTCTGGTTTCCTTTTGGCTTTCCTTGAAATACCAACTAACGTTCGGGGGTCCGAGATCCATTAGAATGCCCCGTGTTTCATGTGGTTTCCCTTGAACTACCAACTAAACAGGGGCTTTCCCGAAATTAATGTTGAAAGACTCCTTGAGGCACTGATCATGGTCCCGGCCGATGGCAATTTTACCACCGCCATCGCGAAGGGTAACCACAAGGCCGGAGAGATCCAGGGCCAGACTCGGCAGCACTCCCGACTCATCAACTTGCTGGGAGTGAAGCAGACTCTCGACAGACAGCCCCCAAGTAAGATAACCCGAAAGGTGGAAAAAAAGGAGCCAAGTTTTGTTTGGACTATTTGTTGGGAGAACTCCCCGATCGATCTTCTGATTGATTGTTGTTTATATCATGGTTACTCTGCTTCAGGTTTGGCGATCTCGAACATTCTGGATGATTGTTTTCAATCACTTTGAGCTTGGTGCCAAATTAGGGACCCTTCCTGGTGGTGATTTCCTTTTGGTTACTCTTTGAAGCCATGCCAAAGGGTGTCCCGAATTTTGAGAGACATCCATTTCGTGTCCCTTGGAAAGGGTGGCATCGTAAGGATCTGCATCGGCGTGAACAAGATGGACTGCGACACCGCGGGCTACAAGCAGGCCAGGTACGATGAGATCGCCAACGAGATGAAGAGCATGCTGGTGAAGGCGGGGCGTCCGTCTTAATTACCTGCGAGCAAGGCGAATCCTTCTACTCCTAGAACCTTTGGGCTTTCAGTCGCGGTTTTTGGGTCATGCCCTCTGATCTTAGGGCAGACATGGTAGCGAACTTTTGGGTTATTCCATACCAGAACCCAGTGCGGTTTTGCAAAAGCTTATTCCCGCAATTTGCTCTGAGAACAAAACCACCTCCATGGGTTGTGTTGTCGTTGTTTTTGTTTTCCTATTTCTTTGGGTTTCTTTTTCTCCGGGCATGACAAGCACTACTACGAGGTGGGCTGGAAGAAGGACTTCATCGAGAAGAACACCCCGGTGATGCCCATCTCCGGTTGGATGGGGGACAACCTCCTGAAGAAGTCCGACAACATGGCCTGGTGGAAGGGCCAGGACAGCGCAATCCTTCCACCCCACTTAGATGGTCCAGGAGTTAGCTATTAAATGGTCAGCAACCCTGGTAACAACCAACTTAACATGAGGGTTCCAGCCCTGATCCGGTCGTTTTTCGGCTTCCTTGGCTTTTGGGGATCTATCCGGTGTGTTCTGGGCTTCCCCAAACCGTTCACTGCCAGGATGTGGAGGTTGGCAGCGAGACCATCCACGTGGACACCGTTTCTCAGCCTTCAGGGATTCCCTCAGGCGTTTTGTTTTGAGGTCCTAAAGCAAAGCTATCGGAAAATGTGTTTGTTGGTTTTTGGGTGGTCTTTTTGTCAAGTTGTAAGGGAAGGCTAAAGGGCAAGCAACCACCGTGTTTCTGCGGTCTGCTGCTTTAAGCCACATGGCTTCCGTTGCGTTGGACTTCCTTCTTGGGAAGATGCATCAGTGGGAAATGAGTCTAAATTCCTAGTTGTTTGCTGTTTGGGACCCTAATTAGAATGGATAACCCCCAAAAGGGTCCATGACCTTTTCTATCAGTGATACCTGGCAACAGGGTTTCTTTAGGTTGCATAAGTACTTTTGGGGATGGGCTTTCCTTGGATGTCAACCAACAAACCAAAGTGTGTCAGTGTATCCTCTATCCCCGCATGTCCACAAGGTGTACGACGGGGATAAACCAATGTGTGCGTGACAGGTTCGGCCCTTTGGGGCCGCCATGGTGGGGCCATGGTCCGTCGCCTTTTCGGAGGGGGGGGGCCTGTCCTCGATGAATACTCACACAAGGTGTACGACGTGCTCGACAAGATGTGCCGAGTGCCGGAGCGTCCCGTGAGCGCACCCATGCGCATGCCCATCTCCGGCATCTACAAGATCAAGGGCGTGGGTGATGTGCTTGCAGGCCCTTGGCCCTTTCAACCAAAACCGGTTGCAACCTTGAAGTAACCAAAGGGCATCCCCTGTTCCTCAAAAAAGCAAGAATGGAAGTCAACTAATTTAATCAAAGCCACCTTTTCAGTCCCCTTCTAAAGTGGCCCTTGATTCTTTCTGGGGGTCGGAGAGAATCCTCCTGAGGCCGTGTGGAGCAGGGTGTGGTGAAGCCTGGTGAGGAAGTGGTGTTCCTGCCCACCCACACCGCCTCCAACCCTTGCACCGGCAAGGCGGGACCCCCAAAAGGCGGATGTCCCTTTTATTTGAAAACCACGCCACGAAAAACATATTCACCTACAATCATGGACGTTGCCAGTGGTTTTCCCATCAGCAGCCCTTTGGTTTTTGTTTGAAGCCACCCCACAAAGGGCTTTTCCCTACAAGAAGACTCAATGTCAGGTGTTCACTGTGGAGATGCACCACCAGCGTGTGGACTTCGCGAACCCCGGTGACAACGTGGGATTGAACATCAAGGGCCTGGACAAGAACAACATGCCGCGATCAGGGGATGCTTTGTTTGCACCCATGCTTTGACCCTTTGTTTGTTTTTGCATCCACCTTTGACCCTTTGTGTTTATTTCCTGTTTTGCCTTCTGACCTTTTTGAAGATATCTCGTGAGTTCCTCTCGTCTTGTCAAGGGCTTAAACGTCAATCACCGTTTCTTTCTGGGACATGTAGGCAAGTGACAAGTGCGACTAGGACACATGGGAATGAACATGTTGACCCTTGCATGCAGGAATCCGGTACATTGATGATCTGGGACTTCGATAAATGGTTAGTAACCATGGCTGTGACATACTTCCCATTGTTGCAAGTCCCCCAAGTGGGTTGTAGCCGTGGTCGCTTGCCGGGGACCACCTTTAGGATGGTGTTGAAGGCGAACAACGGGAACCCTGCCATTTTGGGGGTCCCCAATTTCGAGAAATACCCATCTAAGTAGCGCTTAAAGGGTTTGAGCAAGGACGTGATGGTCTACAAGAAGGACACCACCCTGGGCCAGACCAAGGAGTTCGATGCGCAAATCCAGGTCCTGGACATCCCCAACGAGATCAAGGCGGGATTTTCCGAGCCAAAAGGAGCTGGGCCCCAACAAGTCAAAGGGCACTTCCGCACTTCAGGTCCCTTTTAGTTTCGCATTTTTCCCGTTAGTTTTGAAGGCAAGTGGTCATTGGTAGATCTGTCTCATCTTTTGGCGTAACCCAAATCGAAGAACGCCAAGCCCGTGTTCAGGCCCCTTTTAAGGTACCCTTGTGATTCTTTATGAGGGCGGAAACAAGATGTCACCTGGAGCAAGGTGGGCTACTCACCCATCGGCTTCGTGCGCTGCGGCCGCGCCGCGTGCCGCGTGTCCGCGCTCAAGTGGAAGATGGGCAAGGACTGGCTTCATGAAGTAAATTGACCAACTTGCCAAGGACGTTCTTTGGTCTGGGGCAGCAAAATGATCTCAAGAGGAACCTGTTTTTCCGGGTCCCTCGCACAGGCGCCTTGTGTTTGTCCAGGGGAAGGTTGTCAGTTGTTTTGATTTATATTTGAACCTGCCTTTTCGGAGAGCGGAATTTGGCAGTCATCTGGGCCCGGCCAGGAGACCGGCGGCAAGAAGATGGAGGACCCTCACTCCCTCAAGTCCAACGAGATGGCCTCCTGAACAAAAGAAAGATAACAGTTGATTGTGCGTTGTTTTGCTTGGTACCCTTTTCAGGTTAGTTTAAAGGAAGACCAAATGGAACATATATTAAATATTTTTACCCATTCCGGTTTGCACCCCAGGCTCAGTGCAGCTTCCAGCCCCAGCAGCCTTTGGTGTGCGACACCTTCAAGAACTGCGAGGGCTTGTCTCGCGTCGCCTTCATGGATGGCGACCTGCCTGTGGTTGGAGCTGAACGGGAAACCAAAGGGAAGCTAAGATCTGGGCCTGTTTTTTCAGGGTAGCCAACCAGAATTCAGGTTTCAAATAGAAGCCAACAGGCCGAATTTGGGAGAAAGAGTCATCTCTTTGTCTTAGTACTCAACCAAGTCAGGTTCGGTCGAAGCATCCTCAATGGTTTGTGCTTCAAGTTAATTCCCACAAAAACGTGGGAACTCAATAATTTGTCGTGCCCGTTATGGGGCATCATATTTTGATCGTGGCTTACAGCTTACGTGGGTGTGGTTCCTCGTTTTGAAGCTCGGCCTCCCTCCCACCAACATGGACGCTCAGAACATCGTCTCAAATCGACAGGGACCTCCAATAAGGTTCCATGTTGGTGGGTAGGGGAAATGGACAATCTTCCGGAAGAAATGAATAACTAGCAGGGCGACCCTGGAATTCCTTGGACCCTTGGAACTACTCCATTTTACCGGACTAGACAAATGCACACGGGAACGCTTCCACCCACTAGCCAAGACATGCCCTTGTTTCCATGGTGTTTTTTGACGTGACGGGCGACTTTGCACTCCCGCACGAAAACAAGGTCACCATTTTTTGCCATGGCCATTGTTGCGCTGTTGCTGAGGCAACGGCGTGGTGATGCTCGGCAAGGTGGTGAGCTGCGAGCGCAAGGGTGAGGACGACAAGGGCGGCAAGAAGAAGTAA